TTTTTTTTTTTTTTTTTTTTTTTTTTTTGTTGTTGTTGTTGTTTTTCTATCACTCCTTAATGAATTCCTATTTATCCCTTCATGGCAATACTCTATCCAATAACCTCGTTCTGTTGCCACGGTCTAGACACTGTGGACCCATCACCAAGTCTAGACAAATAGACACTGAGAATGTTGAGCGTTGATCTCATGTTCTCGCCCTGGTAGAGATACATTGGATTGGATCCAAAAGAATTACACCCGAGGAATACATACATAGTGCGCCAAACTAGCAGTTGGGATCAATGCATGCTACTAGCTATAAATATCCGCCCATCTCCTTTGCGACGCCATCACCATCGACCTGGTTCATCCTCCCTGTCCCGTGCCTTGTACCCACATCACACTCAAGATGAGACAGAACAAATGATCAATGCCCCTTTCGGTTTCCGTGTGGCTGGATGGCTGAGACAATCTGTTCTTCGGGGTGCATATTTATATGTACGATGAAATTTCTTCATGGACAAAAAGATACCCGACCTTTGCGATGCTATCGTATTAGATCTGTAATTCAGTATAGATACAATTCCATTGGAAGAAAACGGTGTATGCCTTTATTTCTGTGACTTCTCTTGCTCTCGCATGGCAGCTCGAGCACTCCGACTGCCTCCAAGTTTTGGTCCCCGTGGCACTTCTGCCTTGGCTGTCTTGGTGTTTTTCGCCCGTGCCACGCGACGCCGTGACTGGATCGCATCAATAAAGTCCCTCCGGAACTGTTCAGCAATCCGGTCATCCGCGGCCTGGTCGTCGGCGGGTGCCTCTTCTTCCTCTGGCGCATCGTACATGTCCACTAAAAGGGCAAGCGAAAGGCTGTCAGCAACCATATAAGATTGGGGGGAATGCGGAGTGGCTGCTTACGTTTGCTCTCGCGCAAGACTTCCTCAACAAGCCGATCTCGTTCGATATCTTCGCTCTTCCGTCGTTTCCGATGCCGCCACGGCTTTCCATCTTCTCTTGCTGGTGGTACCGTCTTGGACGTCCCATCTTCATCAGCCAGCGGATCTTGTGCCTCATCGCCCGCCAGTCTTCTGGTCGCAGCTTCCGTTCGGGCTATATTCTGTAGCTTCGTCTCCTGGCCGAGATCAATTTCGTGTAGTTTGCCCAACGATGCAGGCTCGCGTTGTGGCAGGCCGGTCGTGGATTGTCCGCCACTGGCTTCGTCTATCGCGGGAGCCTCCGAATCAACAGTTTCTCCCGACCCATCGTGTCGGAAACGCTTAGCCATTTCAGTCTCTATATAAGTCATCCTTATCTTGTTAGTACTCCGTCACAGCCTGCAAAGCACCAGGAACTATAGGAGTGTGGGGACAGTACATATGTTTATCGACGTCCACAGTTTGTCCCGTATGCCCCGTAAACCGGTCGCACATGGCCTGAATTTTCTCATCTTCAAGGTCCTCCGCCGCTGTCAAGACGGCGGCCTGGCTCCCATTGTCAGCGGTTGGTCGCGGGGTGGTCGAGAATTCAATGCCTCCTTTGCGAGCTCGACGGGGCCGTCGGAGGCGCATCACATCCGTAAGTTGAGTAGCGGCATCGGCGCCTTGATGGGCCTGAGAAGTAGAAGAATGACTGGCCTCTGTTCCGTTCACCCCGGCTGGCGCTTCATCTTGATCTTCTGCTGTAGGATCAGGACGACGGCGCAAGAACTTTCGTCTCTTGACCGGTCGAAAGAGAGTTTCAGGATTTGGGCCAAATTCCGTATCCATGACCATCACAAATGACCATAGGCTATGGAGATGGAAAAGTTGAAAGATAGGGGAAACGTAGATGGATCAAAAAGTTGCGAAAGAAGGTGGCCAAAAAGAGGCCTGCCTCTTAGGGTCGGCGGTCGTTGGAGGGCGTCGCGCTCTTTTCTGCGGGAGGTTCCATCCGCGCCAACCTACGCCGTGGTGATCTCCGCCGCGAATAACATCCATCGTCTTCGCACAACCCTGCGTGACTCCAACCCCTTGATTCTGGTGTCGCTTGGATTGTCTCTTCAAAGGTCATCGCCCAAGGCATCAAACTTTTCTCAAAGCCGTCATACAGGCTGTGTCCACGCCGTCCGGGCACCCTTCAATATGAACCCTTCAATCCCACCTTCAGCTGCCGAATATGGCGGAGGTATGTCAACCCGAATACCAAAATTGCACATCTCAGGGCATCTTGTAAAGCCTGGGTGTTTATTCCCGTGGAAGGCCTTGTGTTCTAAGAGCTGACGCTGATCCTGGTACGTGGTATAGATGAGGTTTCGGCTATTGTTCTTGATCCCGGATTTTCAACGACACGCGCTGGCTTTGCGGGGGAGGATACGCCGAAATCGCTGATCCCGACCTACTATGGAAAATACTCTTTCGATGGACAAGAAAAGTTCATATATGGTGACGACGTCTTTGTCACTCCCCGCCCCGGCCTGTCGGTTCACAATCCGATAGGCAGAGATGGAATCGTGGAGGATTGGGATATGGCAGAGAAAGTGTGGGAATACTCATTTACATCGCGATTGACTGGTGCTAAACCGGGAAATCCCTTTCAAAACGGTCTGAACGATGTCGCCGATGGTGAGCTGCCTGCGGAAATGGAGGGAGTCGAAGCTGAAGAGAAACCTCTCGCGGACAGCCCGCTCCTCATGACTGAGTCCGGGTGGAATCCTACAAAAGCACGCGAAAAGACCATCGAAATCGCCATGGAGAAATGGGGGACGCCAGCTTTCTACATAGCAAGAAACGGCGTTTTGGCAGCGTATGTTTTGGGCCCGTTTTGTCTCATTGAAATATGCCTTTCAGCTAACAAGACTTGTTACCCCCCGTTGACAGTTTTGCTGCCGGTAAGGCTTCTGCTCTTGTCGTTGACATTGGTGCTTCCAATATCTCCGTGACGCCGGTTCATGATGGAATGATTTTGAAGCGGGGCGTTCAGCATTCTCCTTTAGGTGGTGATTATATCTCGTCGCAGATTCGCGCCTTATTCAAGGCTAACTCGCCACAACCGATTACCATAACGCCCCATTATCTTATTTCTTCTAAAACCGCCGTCGAAGCGGGTCAGCCTCCGCAGGCCAATTACAAGACCTTCCCACCCGAGAAGGCACCAGACTCCTCGTACCGCACGCTGCTCGAAGAACGAACGCTCTCGGAATTCAAGGAGTGCGTCGTCCAGGTTTGGCCGGGGCCCAACAAGCTTTCTGCGACTGGTCTAAACGGCGTCTCAAATGAAGAGATTGCGAAGAGCAGCCCGGGTCGGCCCTATGAGTTTCCCGATGGTTACAACCAGGTGTTTGGCGTCGATCGATATAGGGTGGTAGAATCCTTGTTCGATGCCAAAGCCGCCATTCCGGACCCCGAGTCGTCGTTCCCCGCGCCAACCCAAGCGCAAACTGTCCCAGAACTCATCAAGAGCGCCCTGAATGGCGTTGACGCTGACATCCGTCCCCATTTGCTAGCCAACGTCGTCGTGACCGGTGCTTCGAGCTTGCTTTATGGCTTCACCGACCGCTTGAACCAGGAGCTCATGCAGACCTTCCCCGGCCCGCGGGTCAGGATTTCGGCTCCTGGGAACACCGCAGAGCGAAGATTTGGCTCCTGGGTTGGAGGTAGTATCCTCGCCAGTCTGGGTACCTTCCATCAAATGTGGATTTCAAAGAAGGAGTACGATGAGCATGGCCCGAACATCGTTGAGAAGCGTTGCAAGTAAACACTATATACGTCATGATCAGTCGCATCATCGACTTCCCCAAATATCTACCCATTTTCATTTATCTACCTACACCTTTTTTTCTTTTCTGGGAACTTGCTCATGCCCACTTCAATGGTGTGATCTCCTTTACTTAGTTGGGGGGCGTACTCAGTGCTACGGTCACGACTGAGAAGCTTTTGGCGATGTTTCCCAAGAAGTCGCAAAGCAACTGGAAGTTATTCTTCGCATTAGATTATCTGTACGAGTAATGCCATTCAATTCCCTTGGTTTTCAGTCCTGCACTGTTCCTACCTACAGCAAATTTATCATCATCTTGACCACTTGCCATTTGGCTTGTTCTTTCCCTCTTCTCTTTCTCCTTTCTATAGAACTTGGAGTGGGATATCTTGAATACTATTCTACCATGTATGAATTTTGATCTCACGTATAGGTAATAATTCGCCAAAGATAAATGGTTCGGGGATTAAATTTACCCTGTTGTATATCAAATATCTCAGCCATACCTCATACCCATCGTTGGCTACTCAATGGATGAAAACCTCTTAACTCCACATGTATAGAAGATGCTGGATGTTCCAATGAGTTTCTGTCTCTTCTTTTGTTAAGGCTGTGAAATGATAGTCTGGTTATAGGTAAAAATCCACTGATCCCTTTAACCCCTTTAAATTTACCACTTCCCATACATGACCTCCTCGACTATCGCCTTATCCTTTTCATCCAGCCACTTGTTCAAAACTTCCTCTCCCTTTCTTGCTTTCTGTGCAGCGCGATTCCTATACACACTGTCGATTTTCCTCACACTAGTCTCATCGCTGACGCACCATCTTTTCAAATCATCGTCCCATTCTTTATAGGTCATATTGGGATTGTTGTAGTGTGTACGGATGTTTGACAAGTTATGGGAAAAGAGCGCCTTTGTAAGACGTTGGTATTGTATGTCTTCTTTTGGTCTTTCCGAGGGGATGAGTGGCTTTAGAGAGAGGTGCAGTATAGACTTTGATTGCAGTGCTGCGGAGACAAGTGGTATAGCTGTCGTGGTGTCAATGGGCTGTGGGCCGAGATTGAGGTAAGTGAGGGGGGCCGATGATGTCGTCAGTAGAACAGTAAGGGCAGTGATGGTATCTACAGAGGCGAGGTAGTTGAACCTTTGCCATTCCTTAGTGTTAGCATGCTAGTGATCTAATTTGGTGATGAAAAGACATACCTAACACCCAAATCCTCTGTTGAATAACTTTGGCCTATATCTAAAGTTTGAATAGTGGGGTGATTGTGTAATGATGATATCAGTACTCTGGCACCTGTGCCCGTTAGTCCGATTGATTGAAGACAAAGACGCTGAATGGATCTGTTATGTTGGAGCCCCGCTGCAAGGGCCCTTGCTCCAGCATCACCGATAGGGTTGTTGGACATGTAAAGAGATGTCAACCCACAGTGTGGGGAGGCAAGATATGATGCCATGGCCTCACAGGCGGCTATTGATATGCCTACACCCGAGAGATATATGGCTTTCAGAGACAAGGGAATTGAAGGAGAATATGTCGCAAGTTTGTTGAATAGAGCAACTACACCTGCATCGCCGAGTTCGGTCTGATCGAGGTCGAGTGTCCGGAGGTTTGGGGTATTGGCGATGAGACGAAAGATAGAGTCCGTGCTACCTGGGCCAAGGGGATTTCTTTTCAGCCAAAGGTTTGTGACGGCAGTGGATTTAACGAGGGCATCGGCTATCAGGGAAAATGAATGACTGTCGATACAGTTACCAGCGAGATACCAGGTATCGATGCGGCAGGGGAACTCGAGGATGAAGTCCGCGATTGCACGCGCACCTGTTGGCCCGATGATGTTGTTACCAAGGAGGAAGTGCTGAACAAACGTGTTGTTTCGCAAGCTTTGCATGAGAGTTGAGACATTGGGAGGGCCAAGAGCCATTTTGCAGAGATCCATCCGTCGATCTGCAAACAAGACTCCCTTTTCAAATTCGAGCATGGGGAGATTGTAGTAAGGCTCTACCGTCTCTTGACCATTACCGGCCGTATCAGATACCACTTCATTGCTGCCTCCGAGCCTGAGGTGGTTGAAAAACGGGGAGAGAGATTCAGCATTGCTGATATCTACTGGCATTGGTAGGCTCCGGACACCTTTGAGCATCTCGGCTGTGGCTATTTGATCCCAAGGGCCTTGAGCAAGGATTCGATCAGACCAACGGGGTCTACGACCTTTTTCAGATGGGTTTTTATGATGCATGGATCCCTCATGGTGTCTCTTTTGTAGGCGCAGCGCTTCCTTTAGGGTAGCAACATCGCGCTCGTAGTTCACCACCTGTGCAAAACTGCCTACCGGTGCTGGGTAGATCAAAGAAGCAATAAGAGGAGCGAGAGTGGTTGGCCGGGTGCGAGATCGTACTGAGCAGGGCACGGCAAGAATTTCTTCGCTAATGTACGTTTGTGGACCTTCCTCGATTGAGTATTTTCGTGCGTACTCATTTTGTAATTTAGTGAGATTGGACCTGATAACTGTTGCCCATTTAGCAGCTTCGTCCATGAGATCTGTATTTTCGATAGAATGTTCGTGCAGAGAGATTACCTGTGGCGTTATCGTTGCTGCTGACGCCATCTTGAAGAGTGCGATGCCCCCGAATAAGAGTTGATGGCCGAGGGAAAGATGCGATCACGAAATAGTGAGAGATTTAGGATTAACTTAGATCATCAGCCTAACTCACCATCAAAAGACAAACAAAAAGGAACAGGCACAAGGGGGAGAGATGGAGAAAGAGGAAGCATATAACAGCAAGCCAATGAGTCATAACTAAATACGAAAATCCTTCAAACAAGGCTGCAAGAGAAAAAAAAGCCCCTCTTTTGACGATGATTAGTAAATGCCATTGCGCCTCGATAATGGAATATAGAGATAAAGTGTACTGTAGGGAAGCAATGGCTTGATGGTAAATTAATTACATTAGACCTCACATTCAATTCAATGCGCATTTCGACGTGTTGACCGGGGTAGCTGGCCATATAAAGGCAAGTCAAGCTGCGACCAGATAACCCCAGCCGGGTGAAAGTTCTGGACCGTTCTGGAATACAGCAAAAATGGAACATATATAACATGAATATGTATTATATTATACTAATACCTATTTGCTGCGCTATAAAATAGTCGTGACAGTTCGTTGCCCCTTCCTGGGGTTAAGGGATTACACTCATCAATAGAGATGGTCAAGTGTCTGTTGTTGTTCCTAAGGAAATGTCCAGTTAAACAAAGCAGCGCGTCCAAGCAAGGCGGCGAATTTATAGATGTATCAGCCCTTGCGAGAGCAGCTCGATGAACAGGAGCTTCGAGGGCTGGACTAGGATAGAGTCGATTCAAGGGCCACTGCCCATGAAGAATGAAGACTAGCTGTAGCTAGACTTCTGGCTCATCAACACTATAAAAATAGCACAGGAGCTTCTAGCAATGCCTGGGTTAAAAACGCAGAATCAGGCTAGCTTTGGAGGCATCACACTGTTGAAGTCGCCGTGAAGATGCACATTATTGGCCGTATCTGATCGCAATGGCGGTAGACATTATTTATCAACCAGAAATGTTGGCCGATGGCAGATGGTGTTCGGTAAACGGCCTGCCATTTGTTTATGTCGTACAGAATTCATTCGGCGTGCTCGAAGTTGGAGGCGGCACAGAAGGGAGGGCTGTTATGATCGATCCCGTCTCGCCTCTTACGGTTTCACTTCCATCTTTGTCATCATTATATTCCTCTTCTTCCTCAGAAAAAGCTGCGTCGACGGAAAATATGTGTATTCTTGGAGCAACGTCGCATTTTGGCTTCAGCGAGTATGTCTTCAAGGCTTCAGATTCCTCCTGCAACCAGGTCATCTGCCGTTGCAAATCCTGTTCAAGAGCGGTTGTCCTATTCCCGCCAGGACCATGAAGAGCATTCGATGACTTTGCGCGGAATATGCTCAATGGCCAGTCCTTTTTTTTCTGTGCCGATTGATGGCAATTCATTTCCTCATTTCTTGCTGTACTTTCCCAGGCGTCAATCACCCTATCAGATTTGAAGTAATGTGAGAGCTGATCTTTGATTTTCTCCTGCCTTGTCGAGGAATGAGTTGCACTATGAGGTTCCGGCTGGTGGAACATCGGCGATTCGAGGACGGTCTTTTTCTGTGTTTTTCTGTTTGTGCGGAGTGACTTCAGTTGCTCCAAAGAAACACTCCGAGACTTGAGAGTTCTAGAAGGTGCAGTAGCAGGCCGATTCTGAACAGCCTCAAACTTGTCGTTCACAGATCTTTTCGGAAGCATTGACATAGATATCTTTCTACTAAGATTCCTCTGTAGTTTGGGGACAACCGTGTTCGAGCCAGCATTATGCGTAGTGTGATTTACAGACTTTGCACGACTGGGACTTTCTGCATCCATACCGCAGCCCTTGGACTCATTGATTGTTCTAAGGTCTGTAACGCTTTTTCGCGTACTTCCCAGACCTCCAGCTTGCCTGGGGATCGACAGTATATTGGCTGCCCTCACAGGGTCAGGATCGCGGGGCAAAGGCTTCTCTGGTGTCGAGCAGCTTGTGATGGTAATCAGTGATCCCTTTTCAAACAGCCGTTCTTTGATTGACCGGGACCGAGATAGCCTTTTGGGAGGCGGGGTAAATGATACCTATTTCAATGTCAGAACTATACATCCATGAAATTATGTTATTTGAGGGGGGTTTATTTTGGCTACGAACCACATCTTTCCTGCTGGCTACACCAACTCGTCGCTGCATCTCCGTAACGACCAGCCCTAATTGAAGAAGTGCAGAACCGAGGGCTTTCCCTCTTCTGCGGAGCTTCGAAAGGGCTATGTTCCAGCCTTCGGTGTTAGCTAACATGGCATTGTATACCGCATTTAGGTTGTTGGGAAGTGGACTATTTTCCTTAGCTGACTGTCCGATGTAGTGCCACAGAACACCGATAGCCTCTTTGCCTTTTTGTATGTCTTTGAGGGAGTCTTTGACAGCAGATTTAAAACGCCCAATGGCATGCTCAATCTTGTCGTTGTAGTCTATCATGGCGTGTCGAAAATTGCGATCATCCAGCATCTCATCAAAAATATCCAGATTTTCGAGTGGCAGGCTGAGATACTGAATCCTCGTGCGAACATCAATCTGTATGATGGTAAAGTCATCTGTGGTCCTTTCGAGGAATCCATCCATCTCATCCACATGACTTTGAAGGATCTTCATAACTTCCACCTCTGATTTTGCGATTCTTTTGGTGAGGAGGTAAACACCGAATGACATTTGGGACGTGAGTTTCCAAAAAGGATGGTACCTGTAAATTCATCGTCAGTTACTGATCAGATATCACGTGCTTTCATATGGAAGATTCGTTAACTGCTTGCCTTTCACCAGCTCTTTGGCGCCATCTCCTGCCGCAAAGTCGCTCATACTGGGAGTTTTCCAGTAGGTCTCTGCGCCGAGATTGGGCATCAATATCAACCACCCATTCATCCTCGGTCCCTTCAACGGCTTCAATAATCGATTCATCAAACGGGCCTTGTAACTGAGGGATTGGATGGATAGGCAATTGGCTGTGCTGTCCCTGGCCAATCAACATGCCCTCTGTCTTTTTTCCCGAGCCGGTGGGAGCTGGCAGGCGCTCTTCAGCTATAGACGCCATTGAGGTGAAATTTGGTCGACTGCAATCGTAATGACGTCGCCAAGTGATGCTTCACTTCCTCTGCTCGGATGGAATGCGACCAACCCTGCACAGGTATATCCAGTCTATCCAGTTTCAATTGTGTTCTGAAAATAGAATGTTAGATCTTGCGTAGAGAAAGATCGGCTGGATCAGGTTGTCTGAGAATGCATCAGGAAACTGTTATGGATCACAACATGAGATCATAAGGTTATGAGTTGTGAGATATTTGGTTTGAAATAGAAACACAGGCCCGTAAAATGAAAAAAAACTGAACAAAGCAGGATTATAGTAATAGAAGAAAATGAGAACCACGAGATGTAAATTCAACATGCAAGGTTGTTTATCATAGTTGACAGTCGTTGAACCTTTCTCTTAGAAAATAACAACCAATGTCATTACATCAACCACCGACTGTACGTGATGCGAGGGTGGACAGAAAGTAGCAGAGAGATAAAACGAGGAATCGCAGGTCAAGGCAAGAAGTGGAGCATTTTTAGGTCAGGTAAGATCGGTAATTGATTGATATTCTTGTATTTGCCTGTGTCCAATCACTCGGAACGCGACGGGTTTCAAATCTAACAACCATGCAGGTCGGAAATACGACATGCATACGTGCGTTTGAGTTTATATATGTAAGTGTATGTGAGACGATGCCAGGAAAGAGACGGCATGGCCATAGGATGTGAGATGAACTGTTCAGGACCCAGAAAGTCCTTATTTTAATTAGGGGGTAGCCACTAGCCCCATGGTGATGATGAAGATGATAATATAACACTTGGGAAATTGGGATAATGAAACCGCGAATTGACGATGATGACAATAACAATCCGAGTCGTGTCCTTGATTGATCTCTCCACGCCAGGCTAGAGGGAAAATACCATTCGTTGCTAATTATTTCAACACGAGAACAGTTCAGTTGTTCGTGTGTTGGGTTGACTCCACATCTTTAGCGGCAGCGGCACGGAACTAGAAGGTATCGAATCAATTAACACCGATCCACAGACACAGAATACTGTAAGCGTACTAGAAGTAGGAGTGAGAAAGGAAAGGGAGACGGGATACAGAGTATGGATAAGTTTTTCTTTCTCTCTCTTTTTTTTTTTTTTTTTTTTTTTTTCCCTTTTTCTGAACTCAGAAAGGTTGTGCGTTGGAAAGCGCCATGGGCAAATGCATGGGAACGCAACTGACCACATACCCAGTCACATACTACCATAATCAATAATGCAATAATATTATTCCAAGCATGGGAGAAGAACGTGTCAGTGTGACAACTGACACTCGATGGAGCAAATCCTCCGACATCTAGGCATGGGAAATGTCGACACCCGAAAGTCGAGACTGATCCAAACCGTGGATACAAGCCATAAGTCGACCGCCGATGGTATGACGATCGGCAGTCCGCACCCAACAGCACTGCCCTTCTCCACGAATCAGCGCTAGCCTTGGACCGTTGGACTACCAAACAGTAGCCGGGCGCGTGACACTGACAGTGCTTGCTGCTCTATAGCTTCTACCTCAAGATCACCCGCAATCCTTTCACTTAGCATAGTCTCCAGCCCCAGAATTATTATTATCCGTGAAAAAAACGGGGTCCCAGAAATTGGTGGGAAGAGACAGATCTAGAAAATCATCGAAGAGCATGTCGATATCTTCAAACCCATCGTGACCGGTTTCATCAGGGCCAGGAAACAGCTGTGACTCCAAATTCCCAAATGGAACGCTGTTATGTGATGGGGCGCTTGAAGGGACGCTAAAAAAAGCAGTATTATTTTCCTGGCTTGATTCCAAACCGCTCGCATTATTACTGCAGGGCACCATAGGTATGGTTGACGCCAAATTGTTAATATTCGTCGATATGAACGTTCGACCAGATGGTGCTTTTTGCTTAGCTTCTTGAACGTAGCCTCGAGATTCAACTTTAGCCCCTTCGATTTGATGTAAGGCTTTGCGCCCCAACCGTGCCATCGCTTCTGCAGAGTACCAGTAGACACCAAGCCCTTCTAGTAGGGAGCAACATGCTACCAAGCTGGCCTTGGCTCGATCAAAATGTGTAATGAGCTTACTCGAGCGAAACTGTTGGTAAGATACGCCCATGGAAAGAGCAAGTGCGTACGGAACAATGGGAAGAGGAGGCAGATCCTGCGCGCATTCGGAGGCGACAATAGAGTATATTCGGACGGCAGCAAGACCTTGACGAATACTGGATGTACTGGAACCGTCAGGGCGATCAGGTAATGTAGACCTGCAGGAGAGAATGCCAACTGCATGGTAATAGAGTTCTAGAGATCCTATGGTGATGTTCAGCATTAAAATGTACATGTCCGTTCATTCCTGTAAGACATACCCAGGGTGCTAAAGTCCAGATCATCTGGAACATGTTCACCTACAATATCCTCGAAAGTCGGAAAGTTGTCTTCCCATCCAACAGTATTTTCTGCAGATGGCCTATAAAAAGATATGACGGTTGACAGCAAGTCAGAGATAGCAAGCCAAATGTCGAATGCTGACCGAGAGATAGAGGGGTCTTTGATATCCGGCTTCACGATTCCAATATCACGATCTGCCACGATAATGGGACGACCACCTATTCCTGCATGCATCTTGTCCAGGGTCCACAGGCACCAAAAAAGCCTCGAAAGGGAGTCACCTGGTGTTCGACCAGGCCGATCTAGGTGGAGGCCTGCAGTCTGTGCCTGATGGATAGCCTGACAAAGATGCATGGCTGCCACTTCCGCGCCTTCGTAGCCTTCGCAATGTAAAGACATTAATGCCAGAATGCGAATGCGAACGATTCGGTCCGACTCCAGTCCAGCATTCATTGCGGCGACAAGTCCTTTATGTATCTCGGAACAGAATTGACGAGATGGCATAACAGGTCCATCAACAACTAGGCGCAAACAAGAACTAGATGCCTTGTCTTTGGCGGCAACAAGGCACATAGCTCTTTCAAGAAATATGGATGCTGTGCCTTCGGAGTAGGCGCGAAGAAAGGAATCCTTGTCGAGTAACGGGAGAATATGGTTAACTCTGGAAAAGTAGATAGAAATCAACCGGTCTCTTGTCGTAAGGGGCAGACGGTCACATGCTCTGATGGCAGACACATGCTGTCGATGCAGCACGGATGCTATAGATGGAGACTCTGGGGTTCGTGCAGCTGGCTGGCCTGCGACAGCAGTCTCTGCATTGGACAAACGATCGCTAGTTCCATCATCATTTTGTACAGCGGGGGAGCTGATCCATAGCCCAATTCGATCACGAAAAGGACTTTCAGATGGACCGTTCAACTTTTCGCGAATGAAAGCTTCAGGATTTAGATCTCCTACAAAACGCTCCGTTTGAGAAACCCTAGAAGTCACAGGTATGGCCGACGTAGAGGCTGAGCGACTGTCACTGGTAAATCCTCTACCGCCGTGTTCAATATGGTTGTTGGTGCGGGCTTGCCTTGAACCGGACAGGCCAATTTCGGTTCCTAAATGAGTCGAGAAATGACGACAACGTTTCTTTTTGGTCTCTTAGCTCTCGGGTTACACACACATACTCCATATCTTTACAGCAGGACGACGATCTAATAAAATCATATGGAAAAGAAGGGAAGAAAAAAAAAAAAAAAGGAAAATTTTTGCGATGATACATATACAGGCTCGGATGATAATTGCGCAGTATTCCACGGGGTATCCCTGCACAATTTCCATATGACGCAGAAGATACTTCGTAGAGGGAGGATTGCAATGCAGTAACGCACCTTTCTTCGTTGACAATTGGCGCATGCTCGCAGGGCTCTTGCACGACTCCGCGACTGGGGGGTATCAGCGAGCCAAGTAAGCTCCATTTCCCATGGAAAATATGAGCAGTCCAAAGTAGAAGGCAGAAAAAATCAGTGATCCATCATAGATCATATTGCATGGTGTTAGTGATGGTCGATAGGTGCTGTGGAGGTTGATGAAGTCAAATAATACCTAGTAAAGTAAAATACCTTATCGCAATGGATGTCCATACCTATTGTACGTCGGGTACCTACCCAGGTACTGGACAGTACATTACATCCATAGGTAAGGTAGGTACAATCTGGGTACCATACCTTCCATTACCCAGGGTATGTATTGTACTGTACTGTATTATTATACTGCCAAGCCCATCTACGCGTGAAGCTTCGAACGCGTCTAAAAGAAAGGCGACGCGTTCCGATGATCGCCATCATGGAACAGCTGGAGCTAGTTATAGACGCCAATATACAGGTCAATTTGGCAGTATGGACATCGGACAACCAACGATCCCCAACACATCTCATATTAAATACATCGTCCTGATCATTTAAGCATATTTCACTGTCATCTCTCTGCTAATATTAGCTGTGTATGTTGTCTTGTGGGTTACCATACTACCGAATTACTCTACCTCGTTTATCACTCGCCGTGATGGTCAGTCCTACGGGCGTCAAGCGCAATGCCAATCATCTTGCTACACCAGATGGCGGCAACAAGAAACCCAAAGGAAAGGGCAGTATCACTTCCTTTTTTGGTCCCCCCCAAAAAACGAAATGCGCAGACCTGAAGCCTCAGACTTCGTCACCCAATTTCGATAAGAAGAAGTGGGTGGCATCATTGACCTCGGAGCAGAAAGAATTGCTTCAACTCGAAATTGACACTTTGGAAGAGAGCTGGCTAGCACAGCTTAAGGAAGAAGTGGTGTCCCCGGAGTTCCTAGCTTTGAAGCGCTTTCTCCAGAAGGAAAAGCAATCTGGTGCAAAAATCTTCCCCCCGGAAAAAGACATTTACTCTTGGTACAGTTGATCCCATCAATTTATCACAGAAACTCTTGTTTTTTTCGCAGTTCTTACAGTCTTTTTTGCTGACAGTTTGGTGTGTTGTCCAGGTCTCGATTTACACCCTTGCATTCGGTAAAGGTGGTCATTGTCGGGCAGGATCCGTACCATAATGTCAATCAGGCTCATGGTTTGGCATTCTCCGTTCTTCCTCCAACCCCTGCTCCTCAGTCTTTGGCAAATATCTATACTTGCCTCAAAAATGATTATCCTTCTTTCGAGCGACCTCCAAATAAAGGTGGACTTCTCACGCCGTGGGCCGAGCGTGGAGTGTTGATGCTCAACACCTGTTTGACGGTCCGCGCTCACTCAGCCAATAGCCATTCGAACAAAGGATGGGAAAAGTTTACACAGAAAGCTCTGGACACCGTGGCTAGGGTGCGATCCCGTGGGGTGGTCTTTCTTGCATGGGGCACCCCGGCCGGGAAACGTGTAGGGGCAATCAATCGAGACAGGCATTACGTGTTACAATCAGTACATCCAAGTCCACTGAGTGCACACAGGGGCTTTGTAAGTCAATTGTATCCACGCCATTACAATTCTAACACGCTAACTAAAATTAAACGTAGTTGAACAACGGGCATTTCAAGAAATGCAATGAATGGCTTGCGGAAAGATACGGGGAAGATGGGATCATTGATTGGAACTTGACCCCAAAGACAAATGCCAATGCTCCCAGTGCCGCACTGCAAAATACCACACCTGAAAAGAAGTCCTCGAAATCCCAGCCGCCTGAAGAGAAAGATAAAGAACCACCCCACGCTGACAGTGATGACGATGAATTTGAGGATGATGATATTGATGCCGTTGAAGCCTTAGCTGCTGCAGAATCTGCAGACCAAGCAAACCCCAAGAGTGGATGAAGTGAAGCATCAATGATCTTCCGAGTTATGATTAAAGATCTACTCTTGATTTATTTTTATTTTCATTTTTGGTTCATTTCCTTCAATTGGCAGGCTTGCATGGAGTAAGTTAGTGTATCAGCAAAGGTACCATTGAGTTTTGTAAGGTTTAACTTTTAATTCCATGGCGTATGCGATCTTGATGTCACTGGGTAAAATCTACATAGGGCTGCACTAGATACAGGTACATCCGGGTAGGCGTGGCCATAACAGCTTCCAGCAAAGGCAAGGTCCTGTTTCAACTATGGAATAGGAGTGGTGGCTATCATTTCAAATAGTTTGACATGGAACCAAATCAGTTAACTGACGTCTGGCAGGAAAGGTATCAACCGAGGATGAGAATTTTCAACTTGAGAAAATCCAGGATACGGACTATATAGGCTTCAATGGCAAACATGTTTCCGGGAAATGTCTACATGGGTTCAAGGCAGGTAAATCCAGGGATTGAGTCACGTTTTAAAAATCAATGTTTTAGAATTTTGTGCTTGTTCTTTTTACATTTCTACAAGTTGCTAGCATGAAATTTGTATATTTTCATATGTGCGAGATCCTCATGGCCTACTTAGATATGGCAGTATAGGAAATTTCGACACGGCAGCCCGGGAGCTCTGCGCAGAATAAACAGTTGAACCCAATGACAAGGGGAGATGAGGACGAAATTCAGCAGATCGATTTGAGTTCGCTAGAATACAGTGCTATATGGAAACTAAATCTTGGAAATTGAATCCAAGTTTACAGTTCATCGTGTCCCTCCTTGTCGCCGGTAGCAGCAGGAGCCTCAGTTTGGCTGGATGAGGCAGGAGAAGCCGAGGCATCATCATCACCTTCCTTGGCTTGCTCAGCGCCGGCGGCGACGCCATCAACCTGATGCTTGCCGTTTTCCTTGACGAACTCGGCGAGGTCTTCCACGGAACGGGATCCGGCGTACTCGACCGGGGAGTCTTTGGCGCCAGCGGGGTAAAGCTTGATGGTGGGGAATCCGGTTATGGAATCAGGCACATCGTTCGCAGTAGCGTCGATCTTGGCAATGGTAACCTTGTCGGCAACGTTGGCATAGAGACTTGCAAGCTCGTCATACTTAGGAGCAAGACTGTTCCGATATGGTTAGATACATGGTAAATGAAACCTCGAGGGATGAACTTACGCCTTGCAGTGTCCGCACCACGGCGCGTAAAACTCGAGAAGAACATCCTTATCGTTGTCCAGGATGAGCTCCTTGTAAGAGCGGGCCACAACGACAGTCACAGGGCCTTCCTGGGTCTCTGGAACAGGCTCAGACTTGATGCTAGGCTCAACCTTGTTGTCAAGAACATCCTGGATGAATTTACCGACGTCCTTGGCGTTAATTTCCTTGTTCTGGTCGAAGGGGTATTTGGCATTCTTTGCAGGGTCCTGGATGGCGAACGAAGGAAACTGCTCGGGATTCAGGTTCAGGTTCCCAGCGTGAGCGCCGAATAGCTTAGCGTCAATGGTAGCGATGTTAATGGCACCCTTGTGCTTCTGGGCAATGGGCTTGAAGGCTTCGGTGAACTGCTCCCGTTCTTCCTTGGTCTCCGCGAATATGTATGCCAATGGGACTCCAGCCTTAGATTTTGAAGTTGCACGTTAGAACTAAAACTATAATGACTGGAAACCCCATGTGGTTTAGTCAAGTACTTACCGTGATGTAGCCGGAGTAAGTCTCAGGTCCGATTTCTCCAACAAGAGGGGTGCTAGCAGATTTCACCCAGTTAAGGACGGCCTCTTGGTCCAATACACCATCGTAAATCGCCTTCTTCTCATCAAAGTCTTTGTAGAGGACAACCGAGGGTTGCTTTACACCCTCAGCCTTGGCAATTTCCGCATCGCTTGCGGCCGCAAAAAGGTAATTGTCCCTCTGAGACTCGGCGAAAGTGGTAAAAGCTTCGTTCGACGCCTTGTCGTCAGAAGCGAAGTAACCGATAACCACGATCTTGTCCAAGGACTTTACGGACTCAATGTTGTCTTCGGTCACTGTTGACACAGCGGGGAGCGACTGCTTGACCATGTAGGAAATAATACTGAAGTATTACACGAGTCAGTTTCACATTAAACCGTATGAAAGGTGTCCTGGTACGAAGTGGTTAACTTACGCCTCTGACTGGCGAGCGCCTTGGTAAGGCTTGGGAGATTCAACGCCACGGAAAATCTTCATGGTCGGATAACCCTCGATGCCATATTCTCTGCAAAGATCTTCTTCTGCGGTGCAGTCGACCTTGACCAGTGGAATATCCTTGCTCTTCAATTCCGTAGCCGCTTCCTCATACTTGGGAGCGAGAGCCTTGCAATGGCCGCACCAGGGAGCGAAGAACTCGGCCAGCACGAGGTCATGTCCCTTAATGAAGTCTTTAAAAGTATCCTGCGTCAAGGAAACGACGTCGGATTTGGTTTCTGTGGCAGAGACTACCGAAGTAGCTCCTAAGAGGCTCAAAGCCCAGGGTGCGAAGGAGCGCATGATTTCGTAACGACGCGTGATACAAACAAGAGGGAGGGGGGAAAAAAGAAAAGAAAATACAAACAGATAAATAAATAGAAACTGTAAAAAGGGGTTTTCTTTTGTCGCTTTTTCGGAGCAGAACACACAGTCCCGGAGGTATTCAACCAGTTGTAGACCTATAGAGGGTTCAAAGAGGCAGGTCAAGAAGAGCAGAGGAGATGGTGACGGCGTGAATGGATCATTAAGTAAGGCTGAGAGAGGCGATGAGGACAGTTTGTTCTTTCTGCAGTCACCTGGCAGCAGAGCTTCCTGAGTGGCTCCGCCAGGGCCCCGCTCGATGCAGTAAGGGATTGCCCTGGCTTAGCGGATGTATGACTAGTAGTACTACATATTTTGCTACTACATAGTTTACATCATACTGGTAAAATGTGTCCTTGTTGTCTGCGGGGATCGACATTTCAGGATCCTTGGGATTGGCTGATCGATACTATTATGCATTTATCCATGGTATTCTATAGGTTAGCTAACGGGTGGGCCATTCACCAGAAAACTACCTACATAACTACAGTACGGCCTACTTACCTAGGTAGGTACGTATGTAGGAAGGTAGGCACCCTGTAGATTTCGAGTTTTTTTCTTGCTCGGCTGTGACTGTAAGACAGCCCTGGATGGGATTTCCTGAACGTGTTGCTCACTAGGTCTGGTGACATGGAATTCGGCCCCAGAATAATTGAGGCGGTGTTCAGGGTATGATTCTCTCAATACAAGTACCATTTACCTAGATGTCAATGCAATAGGGAGAACATAATAACAGTACAGTATTATTATTATTAGTTTATTATGGTTACCATGCTGTAACGCATAGCTAGATGCCTACCTACCTAGGTAGAAGTAGGGGCATAACCTAGTACCTCCCTAAGGTCCTAAGGTACCTCCTAGATACATATGGACAAGCTTATGCGCCGCCCTTTTCTTGTATTGATGTATATATATATTATTATTGAATTATTGATGGATCAGTTGTTACTTAATAAGGTACCCACCTACGTACATAGGCGTGCCGAAGATACGGAGTACAGTACCACTTGATACATGGCGGATATACAAATAAAACCCAGCCAGTACCTTCCTATCCACTTGAATACCAGATATCGGGTTTCCCCACACCGTCGATTTTTATGCTCCGCCCATACGTAATGATGTAGTAGTCTAGATACCTACAGAGTACAGAAGGCATATTGTATAGGACCCTAGCTAGGTAGTAGGAATGAAAAAGATCTGTGGTATAGAGCATCCAAGCGAGAAATGGACATCTAAAGTAGGCTGTGATGAATATCGATATAGTTTTCCTGCCATGAGTTTTATTCACGGGTATTTGAACCTCGAAGTATATTTTTACTCTGCAGGCAAGATAAAAACCCAGTACTCGTACTGTGAGACGCATGAAGACAATGTCTGTCGTACAATAGTCGTCAAGTAGACACCCACCCATCAGACTTCTTTTATATTTCCTTTTACTGGTCCACCACTTCGTTCTCGTATAGGGGATCCATGTGAGGGATAGTCCCATACCCAGATGCATCGACGTCCTGCCTACCACCTAGTTCTGCGGCCAGTTCAAGTGCATCGCGTTTACCTCGTTCCACATCCACGAGAAGCATAAGTGGCAGTGGAAGGAATACGAGAACTGCCAAAAACACGAACGCGGGTCGAATTTCCCCGTAGCGGTCGGTGATGAGGCCAACAATCGCGGGCCCAAAGATACTCGAGCCCTTGTCGGTTATGGCATAAAGGGCATAAAACGCTGCTTCATAGCCCGGGGGAATCAGTTCCCCGAAGAAGCTTCGACAATATGACGATAGCCCGCCCATAACAAGCCCGTATACAGCACCTAGCGGAAACATTTCCCATGGCTGTTGAAGGCCAAGGAATCCCATTGCCTTGATAGTCGGTATGAAACCCAAGAGACCATAAAGTGGAACCGCCTCGAAAAGAATAATGCATGCGATTATGGTTTGCGAGGCTCGTAGATTTAACAACCGCGACACGTAGCTCCAACCGAATGCACCAAGCAATCCTGAGGACATGGCGATCACGTTGATCATGCCCAATGCCGCAGGCTGCATGTTGAGCTGTGTTTTTGCAAAGAGCACGGCTGTTCCACTGACAGTAGCAATGCCATCACTGAGAAGGAACCAGGCGGCCAGGAACAACATAATGTCTTTCAGGTGTCGAGTTCGCATTGCTGTCCTAGCGAGCGACCTCCAAGCATAGGCCATGTAGCCAAGCCATGAGCGACGATGCTTCCCATCACGAGCAGGTGGCAATGGCGGACCTGGACGAGAACGGAGCCAAAGTGATGCCGGTATGGTGAACACGAACCACCACACACCAACCAGAAATAGGGCAAGGCGCAGCGAGAACGTAGTCTGGTGGGTACTGATGACGACAAGGATAGATATTATTTGCAGAATCACTGCACTAATATAGCCTATACCAATTCCATAAGAGGATATCTGAGTAGAGATATTCAGCGCTTGAGAGATACCCGTAGGGTTGGTCGAACCCAATGCTAATTTTGTTCCATCGGTTTGGTCATGTCGGAGTAATGATGACGTTGCATCGTTGATCTGGGGTCCGTCATTGCTAAAGGCAGGCGAAGGATGGCGAGCAGATGGTAGGACTTCACTAGCTTTGCTGCCCAGTACAGACGGGTGATGGCGGACTAGAAGGGGCAAAAACGAGTTCAAGAGCACAAATGACGCCCCAAAACAGGTATTGGCTATTATTGCCAATAGCCCACCAAGAAGATAAGCCTTTGGTGCCACAGACAGAAATAACATCATGGAAATGGACCCAATAAAGGCGAATGTCACCAAGAACATTTTGCGATAGCTTCCGTGGTCTGCAGCACCTGACATTGATATGATCAAAATCGCTTGGATAAGTACACTCACTGAGAACGTATACATTGCGAAGCTTGCGGTGTTTATTTCCAAGCCAAGTATATAAATCACACACTGGCTGGAACCTGGCACATCTGGCTTCTCATGTATCGATGTTTGCTGGGAAGGCTTCCAGGATGCAGTACATGGAGTGACCTTGTCCGACAAGAGAACACCACGATCTCGGGACATTTGTTCCAACGTAATGGGGAGAAAAGAGCCTAGAAAAATCGATGCCATCAGATAATGAATGGGCCTCGAATAATCCCAGGATTATAGCTTCGAGAATACCACATACCCATAGCACACACCGTAAAAACCTCCGCCGCCCAGCTGTAGCTATACCATCCTGCGAGCTCCATCTTGCTGGTTGGCCGTGTATCATCGCCCGGATACTGCGGACGCAGAGGCCCTGCCTCCGTAACCTCCTCTCGTGGCATATCAACTCCAGCCCGATTCATGGAGGGATTATCATGTCTAGAAGAGAATTAAAAAGGCAGTTGTTTGAATCGATAAAATGAAATTTGAGATTCGATAAGTGAAAGCAGATATTCAGGGATCTTATGAACTACATGGTGGAACGAGAAAAAGCAAAAAGGTGTCAGCTCATCTCAAAAACAGTTTAATGATGCTAGCACAGAGGCAGGTCTACCTTTTGAGTCTTTTTTGTGAAGTGGCCAGCTATTCCGGATGGCCGACTATGAGAGCCTAGGTAGAACTCAAGACATTCAACACAAGAACTACTTAGAAAGGCAGCGAGAGGTGTAGACTGGGGTAGTAGGTAGCTAGTCAATGAAAGGTTCATACCTAGGTAGGTATTAATTAGTAGTATTGTTGAGAGACAGCTGGAAAAGAGGGTGTGGAGCTATGAATCCCGGGAAGCTATGGTTCTCTACCCCCAGCTAAGCTAACCCACCTAGGATAGGTCCATAAGGTATGTACCTTAGTAGTAATGGTATCACTTCCCGTATTATGACAATACCTAATACCTTACCTAGGTATGGATCTGGTACCTTGGATAAAAGTTGACCTCTAGACAATAATACTGACGGGACCCGGGCGCGAAACAAGGTGCTGTAAAATACCAAGGCATCAAGGCATCAAGTCTCAGCCACTGAGGCTGGTCTGGTGCTCGTGCATTTGCGTCGCATCGCGCCGGCTTCATCGATAATCAGTCCATCGTCTCTCTGAAATACACCGGATGTTTATCAGACTTTGGCATGCACTGGTGAGTGTGTCCCTTTTATGTCTTTGTTTTTTTTTTTTTTTTTTAAGACAAACCCTCTATATGCTGTTAGTGTATGTCCTCAATAATTTACCTTGACATCACTACGACCCCCGCTTTATTCTTTTCATCTCCAGCATCCCCTTTCATACCTTCGCCCTCCTGTCCGAAAGATATTGAGCATTGCTTTTCTTCTACACCAGTGTCTTTCAATTTTACAACTCAAAGTTTCGCTTTGAATGCCCGTCGCCTATTTTGAGAATTCAGTCCAGCCACCACCTTTATCAGAAGCAATCGCATTATTTTGACGCCGAAAAGCTTTTTTTATTTCGCAAACTATCCCGATACCCATTGGGCATTCGCACGCCCGACTAGTCCGATATTGTGTCGCTTATTTGCATCATCGTCACGGTTGCTAAAAAAAACCAGCGTTTCCCGCACCGGTAAACAATATACATGGCATTACGCTAAGAAATCCGGTTCAACCTTTGTATATTATCAGGTTCCCTTCCCGCCTCAGCGCCGGCTTGTTGGTGCTCTAAATAGCACCTCCATTAGGTCGCTCACCCTTTGCCGTGCAGAGGGCAAAGGAGGGGAGGGCTAAACAGGGACAAACAGACCATATCCAACGATCTGTGTCTAGACATGCCGGGCGTCGTCATGGACAATGCCAATATCGGTGGAGCCAAACAGGGTGTCCATGGTCTTGAAAATGGCCTCTCGACTTCCTTCGAGGGTATTGAGGCAGCTGTCGGTTCCGCCAGATTACAAAACGGCTCGGCTTATATCAATGGAGCTAGAAAACCACTTGATGGATCTAATCAGGCATCCGCAGCTGGAGCAGTTTCAACCATAACTAAGGATCTGCCTGAGTTGACACATATAACCCAGGGATTTTTTCCATTCACAACTTTGGTCAATAGATCGGTACAGCAATGCTGGAATGATTTATCAGACCTGGTTACAGAATTGGCAGAGATCCAAGTTTCCCCTCAAGATCACGCTTCGTCCACAAATTCCTTCAACGCAAAGTCACCAGGAAACCAATGCTCAGAAAATGTGCACAAAAAGCTTCGAATGTTGGAATTTGCTCATGGTAAACGGGCCGAATTCATTAAGCTTCTCGTCCTATCCCAATGGAGTCGGCATGCGGTCGATGTCAGTAAACTAATTGACCTTCAAAGTTTCATCCGTACGCGCCATCAAGCATATGTCGGGGCTCTCCAATGGGTTGGGGATATGAAAAGAGACCTAGTCAGAGCACAGGTGGCAAACCCGGATCTGAGAACGGCTTTGGAAGTATTGTGTAAGGGAAAGGTAGCAGCCATGTCAGATGTAAGTTCTTCATCCCGTTAAATGGCATCGTTTTGGTTTCTGAAACTTGCGTCTTAGCTCGGGTATAAACCGCCTAAGCCTTTAAGTGTGAAAGCCACTCTCAAAAAATTACAAAAAATCAACAGAATCATTAGTGTGAGATTGTCGCTTCATGATGCGGTTCCTCGTGCCTTTCAGACTTACCTCGTACACGATGGCCGAGTCACATTCTTTGTACCAGCAGAATTCGAGCTTGACCTTTCCGTTGGTGAAGACGACAAATCCTCTCAATTTTTCTTTGTTGACATTCGCTTTCTTTTTTCCCCGTCTTCTCCCATCCCCAAGGGTCGAATTCTTAACGAACTCGATGCCAAGATTAACGACGTACTTCGGGATAAGGGCCTTTCCGGGTGTTTCGATTTATTACACAGTCTGGTATTGACCAATAAAATCAACGTTCTTCACAAACAAGCTATTGAGCTGACGAGAGGTCTCTGGTCCGACGTCTTGCGTGTCGAACTGTTACACCGAACATTGGTTGTGCAATACTGGGCCTCGAAACCTGGGGTCAAAAATTGGCTTGAAATCGGTATTAAGAGCGGTCGCCGAGGCGATAACAGTGGCAACAGTCGATGCCACGGAATGCCATATTTGGACTTGCGCTGGATGCGAGGGGGCCAAGAAACTGACAATCGAGATATTGAGTTTGACACGGAAAGCCTTGCAATGGAGAGCATCTTGAGAAGTGCCATTGCACTGCATATCTCGCACATATTGTCCTCAGCATATACCAATATAGGCAGTAATCTACTGTTCTCGACCGGCGTGCTATATTTACGGGCCCAACTTTCTGGGGCCGAACCCGGTGACTGTCAACTCGATGTTCAACTCACGTCTTCCAGACATCTCCGAGTTTCAATTGAGCCGATGTCTGGAGCAAGCATTTTTTCGGCAACTCCCAGTGTTTTGAGTCCAGAGAATGACCGCAGCTCTGATAAATCCGCTATTGACGAGATGGTATCTCGCATCTCTCGACTCCGTTGCATTGCTGCGATAGAGGAGATCGAATCAAATGTTAGGATGCTGGGTTTCGAAACCGTAAGCCCAAGAGGTTTGAAAATTGATGTTCGAAGGTTGTTTCCATCAAATGTTTTGCGATTTTCCTTATTTTCGCATCGCCTTTGGAATCAGAATTGGGTTGTGGCGGCAACGAGCAGCATGGATAATGATAACTGGTGGATGATTCAAGTTCGCCCATCAATACCATCGCAAATCCGTCCCGGTATCAATCCAAGCACCCACGGCACGTCAATCCTTCGGTCAACTCAAGTGGTCAGCACTACATTTCTTACTGCGCAAGAAAAGATGATCTATACATCACTTGCTGATCTAGGGCATTGTCTTACTGGAATTCTGACAGTTTACTCCAATGCTCGATATTTGGCAGAATTACAATGTATCCACTTCTACCCTCCTCTTCAGCGGTTGCAGATCGCAACTGACTTTCGGGTGCCCGATATAATCATTCGCTACAACTCATCAAACCTGCCACCAACTTTCCAGATAGCACTGCCCGCGGGTTTGAAGAAAAAGTCCTTTATAAAGAACACGGTTCGCCTTGCTTTCCATGGAATCGACCCTCGCAAAAACGCTGCCATTGTTGTAGGATATGGCAACTTGCTCGTCTCCTCAAAATCTTTTGGCACATTGGTCGCAAAGTCAGATCATTCCTTGGTTTTCCAACAGAAAGGCAACGGCTTTGCTATACGTCTTCTTGCTCCAGCTGGCCAACCAGTCATCCTTGACCTCATTGAGAAGCTACAAAGACTTGAATGTGCACTTTCTATTCTAGAAACTCTTCGGCAAAAGAAAATGGCGCCTCGATCCTTTTCCTTGTCACGAATTGCTTTCGTTTATGGCCCGGAACGAAATCTTGCCGCCAGTCTTGATATAAAGATTTCTGGCCCTCCATCTCTTGCAGATGTTAATCCTGCTGACATCGTACCAAAGGTGGATCGGCTTTTCCATATACACCTCGGTATCAACTTTGATTTCCCAAATCCCCATCGCCGTATCCAAGAATCCCTGACTGCCATTCTAAACCATTCATCCGCCGATGCAGGTCTAGACTCTGTTGTTGAGATTTTGCCTCTTACACTTCCTTTACTGCTGGCCTTGGATAGGATAACATCTAATCCATCTCACAAAGGAGCATTGAGGGTTCAAATAACAGCTCGCAGTGCGAAGACATTCCAAATACACTACCCTATACAGAGATTTCGGTTTCAATTGATAGCCGGTCAGCATCTGAGCCGTATAGCTTGGATATTGAAAGATGTGAGTGGCTCTCAGGCCAGAAAAGATCAAGATCAACTTGTATCCAAACTCCAGGATGAGTTGTACAATTCAAAGGGCAATGGCTGGAAAGGACTTGGAAATGGAGTGGTCGCAGAAGTTGAAAAAGTCGGAAATCTTATATCTAAACTTGACAGATGTTTTGCGGACGTCGCAGATTGCCCTGGTACAGGTGGTTTGGTGGACAAAGATGGACCCGGGAATCCAACATCCATCAGCCAAGCGACATCAAATCAAGCTGATAGTACTGGGGCGCGCACAAAAGTGAGCATATTTTCTGGCGCAAGTGCTCTTGCGACTAGTCTGACTAGCAGGAATCCCCTTGATGCCTCGAACAATGCCGATGTCATCATGATCGACTAAGGTTGACGATGCCTAGCCTGTTTGACTGAAGCCCTCCGGTGTCTTTTCTTTTCTTTTCTTTTTCTGCCCACCTCTATCTCTTCCCCTGTTCCCTGGCTTTCATATGCCAGTTTTCCCTTTTTTTACCATAGCATGTAAGCGAGGGGTCCATTCCTGGTGGCGTTTTTGTTTAGTATTCTTGCGCCTTGGTTCACGTATCTCTGCGCCTCATGGTTGAAACTACATATATGTCCCATGTGTTCCTTAATGATTACATTCCCTGCGCTCATTATATGCACATCCCAATCCTTTTTTGACACTCTTGAGGATGAAATGTTAATACATTAACGGTTAGTTCATTTTCAAGCACATATATATGACCGGGTAGCTGCTTTTGGGCTTGGGCTCTTATGATAGTAAATCCACACAGCATTATGGCGCTTAGGGGCGGGAGGGGGCAAAAATGAAAGAAAGAAAAGGGCACCCTATCAGTCCTTATTCATTCTTCACATATGTGCACCCCTTAATATATTAAAGCCATGACCGCCGCATGGATATTGGTAATATCACCAATAAGTTGAGATGAGTTCCCCAGTATACCCGTCACTATTATGCCTGCTCCAATGGGCGAGCTCACCAGAGAAGCCAAAAATAAAAGGGAGAAGAGAAAGATGGAGAAAGTGGGAAGGGGGAAGGAAACAGGCACACCTAACCCCCTCAATGACATACTGAATCTGAATTCATCCATCATGATATTGTAGATTCTGTTGAAAAGGTACAAGGAAAAGACATCCGCGCCAATCAAACAATTCACTAGAAGCGCTCTTCTTTCACTTTCCCTCTGTTCTTGGACGCATCGTATTCTAGCCATCGTACCAAAGTCACATCACCATCTGGAACCAGTTTCCCAGGGTTCATCACATGGCATCCTTCGTAGGTCATGCAGAATGGCGCAGCTTCAGCATCTGCCAAGATAAGTCCAGTTGGCAATGGGTATAGCTGCAAGGAAGATGCATAGTCCCACAAAACAGGCCGCAATGAGAGTGGAAAAGGTGATATAGTTCCCTGATCCAATATCGTTTTAACCAGTTTTCGAGCCATCAGTGTTGCTGACATTCCAGAGCCGCCGGGTTTGGCACCTATCTCCCCGGGGGCAATTCCTCCCTGATCTTCTGGTATAGCCGAGCTCATGTCGCTGGCAAGACCATTAACATCTTCGACCATTGCATCATCAGACTCATTAAAGGTGGACCTGGTAGTGACTGCGCTGCGCCTCAGTCTCCCCGAAACATCATCTCGAAAAATGGCAATGTCATGCACAGGCCCGAACAGAGTAAGACGAGATGGATTAGATGTCCAAATAGCCTCACCAATGGGCTCAGTTGAATGGGATCGGTCTAGTTCGGAATTCGCCATGGCAAATGCACGTTTCACTCTAGATGTGAATAGCTCAGGGATAGCCTGGCGCGGAATCACGGAAGCAGCGCCAGCGGAAAATGCTGACGACCATGGGTCATTGTCACCTGGAACGAAGATAAATGTTGAGCGTTGCAACAGAGATGGGAATTCCGACAAGACCACAGCAAGAGAGTCAAAATATTCCTTATACTCAATGCTGCCCGCCTGACCTCCACCGTTGATTGAAGCTTTTTGAACGAAATTCCCAATTAAGATGAAGACAATCGGGCGTTCTGCCAAGGGCAAGTCGTTGTAAAACCCGAGAACCTTTCTAAGTGCATCCAGCATCTTCATGTTGTCAAGATTGACCTCACCCATGACTGCAACTTTAAGTCGAGTAGAAGTCCCTGCATTGCCATTTTCCTCTCGTAGACACTTGGTTTGGATGTTCCTCATGCGCGAACCTCGTGCACGTTCACTCCCAACTCCTAGGAAATCGACCCAGCCAAGCCCACCACTGGAACTGATATCTCCGTTGTTTTGGTGATTGTTTACACCAAGCGAAATCTCCCTTCGCTCGCAAGGTGGGCCACATATGGAGACCCCAACAAATCTACCGCCTATGGCGCCTCCAACTCCAGTATTTCCACCAAGAGTTGATCCTCTAACGCTTTCTTCTTCTTCATAGATACCATCAACAAGGACAATCATCCCTGGCGCAAACCAAACACCATCGTCTGGTATCGCTCGCGCATGATTCAAGTCTAGCGCAACGCTGCCCGTCAAATCTGTAAGAGACAAATCACCTGCAGGGGAGACGGAGAGTAAGCCTAAAAGTAGATGTGAGGTTCCACTCCTTCCGAGAAGATTCGCAATCGGTGTCAGTTTATAACACTGATTTGTCGCAAAGGAGGATGAAGATCGCTGTAACGAATGGCCGCCTGATGAGCCAAGAGATGTTTGGAAAGAGTCATTGCGTAGCAAGCGTTGGTAGACAAGATTATATCGATCTCGAAAAAGAGCCGTTTTGTGGGAAGGAGGCGGGAACAAAGCAGGCTTTGATTTTATGGTCTCAAAATACTTCTTGTCGGCGTTATATGTCAGCCGTGGAAGATCAAATGCTTCGACCACTTTGATCCAGTTTCTTGGGTGCAATGAGAAGTCCTGGTCATCGTAATCTTTCTCTTCCAAGGTTGTTGAAGAGGAAAGTGACTGTAATCTGCCGCTGTTCAATTCAGAACGCCTGTTCGTGATCGCCATAGGACTCTCGTCAGTAATAATCCTCCCAGCCACAACTCTGCCACCACTCATACTGCCTTCTAGGGTCTGTAAAATGGCTTTCAACGATGCCCCCTTCCCTTCTTCAACAATAACGCCGCCTCCGGCCTTCTTCCAGCTTTTGGCAACTTCATCCAAAACTCGTTCTGCAAGACCTTCTTCGCGCCATCCTGAACCGCAGTTCTTTCCCACAAAGACAGCTAGCGTTTGGAGTGCCGATGATGAAATTGTCAAGTTATGTTTCCGAGTAAATGTGCGAAACGCTACAGGACGAAGAGTAGAAGGGGGGAGTAAGATAGGTAGTATTGACGTCTTCGTGGCAAGTGGATTGGACTTCGTCATGCGAAAAGGACGTGCTGGAGTTCCAAACCCTGGCGATGATGAAGGGATTGGATCGGAAGCTGTCATAATTTGAGCCCCGAATGCCCCAGCTTGGCTTGGTTTCTTGTCCATCACGATTCTTTGCCCGACTTGAAAGGACGTTCAAGTTCAACCCTTTCGAGGATTTTATAGGCTTTCTAGAGTAAAAAATCCAGCAATTGACAAGACAAGATATCTAGAAGTCAAAAAGAGAAGACAGTTTCTCAGTGCCCTTAACTTCAAGTCAAACTTCAAGGCAGAAGCAATGTAGTAATATGGCCGTATAAACCGCCTAAAAGAGGAATATTAGAGTGTAGAAACCGTTCGACGCGTGATGCCACGCTCCGCACACGCGACCCGCGACTGCTCCGAGAAACTCCCCTGCTGAAGTACGGAGTAGTTTACACTATATTCTTTCTCCCATCACTGGATTCTCTATTTGTTTGCTCCGTCTTATTTATTTTGACTCTCTACACCATTGGAAACTCCTCTTTGTTCCTAATTTCCTGACTTTTGTCTTGAACTGCTTGGTCTAGGTCAACCAGTGTCACCTCTGGAAGCCACTACGGATCCGAAACTCTGAAAGTCGGCGTCATGTGTAAAGCTGACCAACTTGAGGCGAAAAATAAACCCCCGGGGGGCACTAGTGAGGATATACGATCACATCTGGAGGAACTAAGCACTCGAGCTGCAGCAAAAGATGCCATCAAAGACTTCAATGCAGCGGCTGAACTCTACTCAGAGGCAACGGAACTCCAGGCTGAGCTCAATGGCGAACTCTCGCTAGATAACTCTGATCTACTTTTCGCCTACGGTAAGGCGCTATACAATGTTGCTGTGAGCAAAAGCGATGTTCTCGGGTCGAAGGTAGCTGGAGAGCCTTCAGCTCAGTCGACCAATCCACCGGCAGGAAATTCCATTTCTGCTGAGCAAACAGCAGCTGGTGGCAGCCTTGTTCAAAGCACCACTGTTAGCGGGCTGGCTAAGAAAGGTGCCGACGAGAGTGAAACGGCCCAATCTGACGGGAAGGAAAACAAGCCCTACTTCCAGTTCACCGGCGATGAGAATTTTGACGACTCGGAATCCGAAGGCGAGTACGATGATCAGAAAACCGGCGGCGGTGATGAGGATGAAGACGACTTTGCCAATGCTTTCGAAGTCCTTGACCTGGCCCGTATACTTTACCATAAAAAGCTAAACGCTGCAGAGGAAGATTCTGGGAAAGGGAAGTTTACCGAACTGCCCTCCGATGTTAAGCACATCAAAGAGCGTCTTGCAGACACGTACGATTTGCAAGCTGAGATTTCACTCGAGGCCGAGAGGTTTAAGGATGCTGTCACCGATCTCAGAACAGCGCTTGAGCTAAGACAATCTCTCTTCTCAATAGAGGATCCTGCCGTTGCCGAATGCCACTATAAGCTTTCACTCGCCCTAGAATTCAGCTCTGTTAACAAGCCAGCCGATTATACTGGGGAAGATAATGAGAACCAAAGCACTGTCGACGAAGAGACGAGGAAAGAAGCTGCCACTCAAATGGAGATGGCCATTGAGAGTTGCCAGATTAGAATAGCTCAAGAGCAAAAGAGGCTGGATAATGATTATTCAAATGATGAGGACAAGGCCACAGCGATGAAAAGGAAAATAGCCAACGTCAAGGATATCGTCGCCGACATGGAACAAAGGGTAGGTCTCCCCAAGGAATGCCGACGGAATACATGTGGCAATTACTTATCTTTTGTGCCTTTGATGTAGCTCATCGACCTCCGTCGTCCACCGGTGTCACTTGAAGAGCAGGACCAAAAAAGTGAGGCTGTTCTAAAAGGCATCCTTGGTCAGATCGTTGGTCAATCGCCTGTTCAGCAAAAGGCCAAGCTAGATGCAGTTGCAAAAGATGCGAAAGATCTCTCTGCATTTGTTAAGCGAAAGCCCACCGCTACCAAATCTTCCCCACAGGTCGAATCAACGAACAAACGACCAGCAGAGTCGGCAGATAAGGAAGGCGAAGTAAAACGAACAAGGGTGGTCGATGGTAGTAATTCTGCTTCCTAATTGTGTATTAGTTAATTGATGTTCTGCATCCTCTTGGATGTGCTTCGATGATACCTAGCTGGGGGTTTGGGGGGATGGGGGCTCCTAAGTTGAAGAATGTATATTATGGATACAATACTCCATAGGGCTACGGTATAAACCTGGTTTTTCTTGAAGTGGCTGGTGTGCTTTTAAGGCCTCTAGGAGGCGGATTTATGTAGCAATCGAAAGGAGTAAAGCAAAACACTAGCATACGCTAGGAATGAAATCATATTGTTTGTGGTTATAATACTTTAACGCTCCAAATATTTGAGTACAGAGACTGCACATCCAGAGACGGGTGGGCAGACAGGAGAGTATCAAGGCGTGAGACTCAATGAACGACCAATCAATCAAACCTTCGATTTACTGCGTACTCCGTATGTATTAGGATGATGACTCATGGTTAATTGAGTCCAAACATTGCAGGACGACGGTCGATCTTGCGATTCTTTCGGCGCGTGGCTAGATCTGGGCTCCATATTCCAGCAAATAAATCCTCGCACTCGTCCTCATCTTGGCTGTCAAACTCGACATGGCCATTCAATGGGCTCGGGCCTGTCTCTCCGTGGCTAGATTGATCGAGGGCTGGGGCTGCTTTCGGGCTGATTGTTGATGCGGAGTCCCAGCACGATGTGGTGGTAGTTCTTTTAGTTTCCAAGATGAACTTGCCAACCTTGTACCGCTGCGATTCCTCTTCGGCGGCAACGTACTTCCAGCCAAGTACACTGCCGCAGAAAGCACAACATACATCACTGACAGTATGGGATCCAGTGACTAGCTCGCGCGGTACAGGCTTTTGTATGATGGTATTTTGAAGAGAAGATGTCGGAGAGGATGACCCGCTCACAGAAACAGCGCTCGCAGTAGCTTCTGGGGATACAAGGTAGGCACGGCCATGGCGGCCAGTGAACCCCTTGCTGATGATTTGGGATGTCAGGCAGAGGTCGATCGCACAGCGGGAACAGCGAATATATGAAACATGGCCATCGAGGTATTTTTCAGTTCTCGCTTTACCAGTCGAATGGTTGGCTGTGGTTCTGGGAGAAATGCTCCCCGCATCCTGCTTTGCGTGGAATTCCGTCGGCGAGAGAAGGAATTTGGGAAAGGCAGAAAAGTTGAGCCGAAGCACTTTCGGCATGATTGTTTTTCTTTTCTTTTCTTTCCCCTCCCCTTTTGGATCTTACAGGAATTATCCCTGTATCCACAGCAGAAAGGGTAAAGAGAAAGAAGTGTATGAGTGAACATGGAAGCATTTGATAACTACCTAACTAGTTCAGACATCATGCCGTTGAGGTCATACCGCCGTATATGGTTAGTTACTCGGTAACTAGGTACAGAGAACCAGCCATGGCTTAAGTTATCATACGTTAGGCCCCACTTCGGGCTCTGAGGGTCTCAAAATACTGTAACTGTAGTGAATTGTGCCCAATTATTTGAAAGAAATGAGACAATCCAGTAGGTAGGTGATTAACTAACACTTTCTCCCTTAATAGATACATGTCCATTTAATTATGTGGAATTTTATCACTAGAAGATGCGCTGGAATAACTCCAGGCGAACCTGGGGGTTCCATCTACAATAAAAGTTCTTGTGTCTGGAGAGCAAGAGAGCGTTGCTAAACACTGATGCATAGGGCAAATTCCTTAAACCCAAGCCACGAGATACATTAGGACAGAGTAATACGGGGCACAGCCATGTTTATCATCACAGAGTGCAGCCTTGGATGGTCAAAAACATGATAAAAGAGGGCTTTAGGCGCATTAAAATTCAACAACATATTAGAAAATAGAATATAAAACAATCGTCGACACACAAGAACCTTGACAGCGTAAAACTAAACTTCGGCGCTTAGAAAAAGCCACTTCTCACTGAGCGAAAACTCATCATCGTTATCTGTGATCCAGGGCTTCAATGTGGTCAGGCTAAATCCACACCAGCCCAGGTTCCTCACAGCCTCGAGTTCAGCTGTGTCCTGGGAGCGACGGATACATGCAACTATCTGGGAACAGTCAAAGTTGGATATGCTAGCTAGCTCGAAAAGGGCGATCAACCTGCAATTCGTTGGTGGGATAAGCCTATGCACAAGAAACAGGAGAGGGGTACTGGAAGCTGCATACCCAGTTTTGAGACTATGGCCTAACGTATCTTCCGCAAAGAACACAAACAATGTTCGCTCGCCACTCATGCTTGTCACGAACCCTCGATAGATAGTATCGCCAGTGTAATCCCATAGCTCAGCCCACTCCTGGATTCTCTTACACTCCGGTGCGGTATAGTTTGGCCGAGTCACTTGATGCGCATTCACTCCAAGCGACGCCTGTCTCACGAGTCTCCTCTCACCAAGGAAAACTGCAAACAGTCTGTCGCAGAAGAGCCTCTCACACTCTCCCGGAATGGTATGCGCTGCCTCCCCTTTGTATTCAGGCAGAATATTGCTCGGCCAATTGCTCCCAGCGCTCAGGGCAATGGCATGGTCGAGGGGAGGACTTGAAGAAGAGGGTTTCAGCCCTGAGGGGACCTCAGGGATACCACTGCGCTCCTGTAATCAGAGAATTACCATTAGCAAAGGCCAGTAGTACCATCACAGTGTGCAGAACTTACCGGTCCCCAGCGTAGTGCAGTAATGGAAACCGTCAACCACCAAGGTAGAGGCGTTGACACTGTAACAGCTTGCAAGTACGCTAGTCTGTGGAGTTTTGCTAGTGAGTCGGTGCGACTGGTTGCGATTACTACTGTGGTTATTAAAGTATTTCGCCATGATGATGGTTGCTCAGTGAAGTGTCTTAGAGAATAAGATGGTCTGTACTCTGTATTGCTGGAAAAACTTGGTGGCCAAGGATTATAGGTGAAGGAAGGTTGGTAGGAATTCAATAAAATAGTGTGGGGGGTTGGTATGCAATACAACCAATAGTGGTGTACAATTTGAGGTGATAGGCTTAGCAGTCTGTGTTATTGAGCAATTTTGATATGAAGACTTTGTGGGTACGTTGTGAGATAGTTGATCACAGGAGGTTGAACTCTTATTTTCTTATTTGCGGCAGTAGTTAGTAACTCCGTATTAGTCAGGAGCTTTGTATGTAACTACCTACCTATGTACTCCATACTGTCAGAGAAAATGGACCTTAAATAGACACATTTTTAGCTTAGTGGTATTGTCATTTTTTGACTGAGATGTACTGTACATACGGACTCTTTCGCCTCAGGCAGAAAGTACCAAATTACTCTATCTGTCATCACTACCTGAGGTACCCGACCACACGCTTTCCTCGAAATGATAGATGCATGTTTGGCCATAATCAATTATTTCCACTTCCCGCCATTTTAATTCTGCAGCATCTCCAAAATACCCATGAAAAAAGCATGCCCTGGATAGGGTAGGAAAAAAAAAAAAAAAGAAGAAGAAAAAGAAGGCGATATTATTACATTCAACTGACCATCCAAAATAGCGCCCTATCTAAAGCCTGTGTGCCTTGGTATCTTGCGCAGATGCGCTTTCAAGGGTACATTTCCTGTTTTGAAGTTATCCGCCATTGAACATTACAACTCAAGTAGCGCATCAAAGATGGTAATGTTCCATCTACATGTCGAGAATGCTTAGCCCTACATGCTGCCAGGTGAGGTTCATAAGGCCCTGTATGAGATGCCTCATACACCCCATGCTGAGCTCAAAGTTCTCGGTAGTCACTCGGCCTTACTCTTCGGTGTCTTGCTTGATGCCGTTGCGGATTAACTGGCTGTCGAAAATATGCTGTGTCCTCTTCTCTAGCGAAAGGCGTGCTGAACGTTGTTCGCTGTTGGTTCGAAAAGTGGCCTATTCCTGGTCCTTGTTGGAAGCCCGGATTTTGTTGCACTGGTCCTCCCATTTGACCCATGGAAAACATGTTCATTGCGGGCTCGCCAGCACCATTATACATATTGGTTGCGCCATAGCTATTAGGGACTGCTCCGTTAACAGGATCACCGTACATTCCATTCTGGAGCGGGTTGAAGTTCATGATGGCCATCGGATTCCACGTATTCCCCATGTTATTCGAAAAACTGCCAGCAGAAGGCAAGCCCATGGGATTCATGAACCCCATGTTTTCGCTAGCGAAACCAGAATCAGGAAAAGGCATTGCCCCCCCTTGGGGCTGCATGAAACCAAGACCACCAAAAGGAATTTGTTGATTGAAAGGCGGAGGAAAGCCAGGTGAAGGCTCTTTAGCCGGGGTAGTGGATGGGTCAGAGCAAGCCTGGTGCTGTTCCTCACTCTTTTGCTTCTTCACGGATAAGCTTGGACTTGACTCCCCAGAATCTTTGTTGCCACTTTCATCCTCTATCGGTCTTTTCTTTGAACGGACAAATGCAGATTCTTCAATTGAAATTGATGGTGAGGATGCAGTCTTTGTGACAGGATCGTTGACTGGTTCTGGCTCTGTATCAATGGCTTGACTATTTTGGTTGACTTGCTGCTTTTCCTTTTCCTTTTTCGAATCTGCTTTTTCGGCCTCGTATTTTTTAATTTTAGTAACGGCCTCATCATCAACGGCGAGGTTATCCAATAAAACGCCTTCTGTTGCGCAGCCAGGGCAAACAAAATCACTTTCAATCAACGCATTAGAGATACAATCATTGCAGTACGTTCTCTGGCAGCATGGTGTTTTTGTGGGCTCTAAAAACATCCGTTTGTCAATTGGACACTCTAGGCCGCGGGCCTGCAATTCCCTGCTGTACTCGGCGGCGGCAGCCTCTGCCGCTGCCGCCGCAGATGCCTTAGCCTTCTCTTGATACAATTCCCAGGCCGCTTTGTCTGGCTTGGCAATGACAAAATCACCATCAGCATTCACCATAACGCCTGTATTCCTCAAATCTTCAGAAGAGCCATCCAAAGCGAGCGATTCTGGCTTCTCAACCTTCGTTTGGAGAGAACGTGGTATTCCAGTTGACCGTTTCACTCTATATTTGCCATCAAATTTCGGATCATTGTTTGTCGGACATGCCTGGATCCAGTGACCTTGGGCGAGCAGTTAGCGGGTTTCTGCACGTCAATGATATGCACTGCAGAAAACCAACCTTTTTCGCGGCAACGATAGCAGAGATACCCGGGAGGAGGCGGGTGATCGGGAACATTCAAAGGTTTTCCTCTTCCACGGCCAAATGGTACAGGAGTGGCACTGCGATACCAATCAATATAAAATATGCAAATGAAAAGCAATTGGGAAGCCCTTACTTTGCCATTTCCTGCTGCTGCTCTTTCCATTGATTAGCTTGTAGATTGAAAAGCGCATTGATCTTCTCATCTTCGGTTTGGGCATTGTTGAGTTCTAAGACACTGCTGCTGACTGTATGGCTAGTATTGGGGATTGCTCGACTCGACAAAGACTGGTCATTACGGGAGGCATTGCGTGCATTGACAGGCATTTTCCCTGATACGTAACGAGCAGCGCCTCCTTTCCCTGGTCGTGTTGCAGGAAGCCTCCTAGCTATGACAGAAGTGGAACGGGGAATAATGGTGGTATCATCGTCGTACTCTGTAGAGAAAGCGTGTTAGTCCACTTGAATCGGGAGCAAAAAACTATCACGGATCTGAAGTCCGCAACAGAACTTACCCTCGCTGGTATCTTCATTGTAGATGGACAACTCAAAATCAGTTCCATCGCCCAGCCTACTCTGATTGATAATTTCTCGTTTCAGTTCGAAGGCAGAGATACCGGTGCCATCAAAAGTTACCCTGGAGGGCTCTTTCTGGGATTTGAACTTGAAGTGAACAGAGGATGACATTGTATTCAATTGCACGTCCAACGAATGTTTGTGAATGTAATTAGATCAAGATTTAGGGGTACCACTGTCAAGAAAAGGGGAATACAAGCGATGATGGAATATGAAAGATGAAAGCAAAAGCAACACGGGCAGGGGGGCAAATCGCCGATGACAGACTATGACTCGAATAAAGAGGACCAAGCGGATGCAGCTTAGTGAGAATGCTTCTTAATAGAAGGGGACCTCAAAAAGAATCGAAAGATTGATATCCTGTGATGAGGCCGCTCAAGCTCATAAACACAAGAGACTTTCCTTGGTGCTGGATGATAAGTGTCCAAATCACTGCATACAAACAAGATAAAGCCTGATGGATAAACCGTGACGGGCTGCTGTTTGACAGTGCAACGTGATTAAAAAAAATGTTTAAAAAAGGCCCAAGGGTATTCTCTTTCCATCCAATGAAGGCCAAAAGAGAAAAGAGAGATACCTGGTCCCCTGGCTTGCAATTTTAATCCGTGCTGGCGAACAGCTACTCTCTGAAACTCTCAGTAAAAACCAACCCCCGCATAAAGACAGAGAAATGGACAGTTGTTGTATGCTGGAGAAGGAAATTCAAAGACAAGTCAACACTGGAATGTGATTTCTGTCTTATCATGAATGATGACGTTCAGCAGTAATTTAGGTGAAAAGGGTACTGGAACCAACACACCAGTGGTTGGCGTAGATAATAGAATTTTCTTCGGTTGGAAAAAAAAAAAAAAAAAAAAGGTGAGCCTTGGATTATACTGTAAAATAATTAAAAGGCTGCACAATGCCCTTTTCAATCGGGCAACAAGAAATCTGGATGATGGATCATGGACGGAAGATTGAAATGCGCGCAAAAGTGTTGGCGATGGCGGCAACTCAGCATCACATGATCCATGGATTCCACCGCCGAGCTCACCGCCTCCTGTACGAAATGAAGGGTGAATAAACGATAATTGTACCGACGTAGTCTTGATATCGTATCAGTTCAGCATTTTCGTCTACTCTAAGCTTTCTTTCAACATAAATATATAAATTCTTCTAAGGATTTTTGAGCAGACTTTAAAAATATAATCAATGGCAATACCGCAGGAAATCCCCCTTCGGCCTCTTAGATGTCGGCTTCGAACTTGCGAACCAGGAATCCCTCGTCTTTAAGGTGTTCCTTAACTTCATTCACAGTATACTCGCCGCGGTGGAACTAATGACAGTTAAAATCTTAATTTACCTTTTTTCGTTGTCTCTTTTGACACTTACCATGCCAGCACCTAGAGCAGCATCAGTAGTAGTGTGCTCAAAGACCTCTGCGAAATGGCCAGGAATTCCCGCCCCGCTTGACGCGATGACAGGAATTTGAACGGCAGACTTAACATCGTTGATCAGCTCAAGATCGAATCCACTATTACTTCCATCTTTATCGATGCAGTTCAAAAGGATTTCTCCAGCACCCATCGCTTCAACCGCTTTCACCAACTGCCGAACATCTAGATCTCGGCTCTCCCTACCGCCTTTGATGGTACACTGATACCAGCAAAAGTTTTGGCCAGCAGCATTTGGAGATCCTGTCTTGATTGTATGATGCTGGGTGTCCTCTGGTCTGCTCACATATACACGCTTAGGATCAACGCTCACAACAACGGCTTGGTTTCCGTAGGCCTTTGATATCGTTTCGATTGCTGTTTTGCCAGATAGTGTTTCGCCAGCCTCATAGTACTGCTCTGCTGCAGTGACAGCGTCGGAACCAATGCTGACTTTATCAGCGCCAGACTTGAAATACATGGTCGCCACATCAAGAGCTGAGACGTTAGTTCCATCCGTGTCAACAGTATCTTTGATACCGCCTCCAATTGTCAGGGGCACGAAGACGGTCTCTGAGGTCCTTCTCAGTATCTCCAACATGGGCGTGTCTATGAGCGGGCAATTTCTGAAGGATGTGATGTTCAAAAATGTGACCTCGTCGGCCCCCTGTTCATAATACTTTTTCGCCATGTCAACTGGCTTCCCTAAATTTCTTACCTGGCCACCAGCATCCAAGTCACCTTTTTCTCTGACGTCGTATTGGTCACCTTTGGTAACCACGAGGTCACCGGCGTCGTTAGTACGTACATCAAGACATGCGATGATTCTGCGGGTCAATCCATCCTCATTTTTCCCTGCAACTGATGTCTGAGAAAGCGACTGAAATTCATCCCCGTTTAAGAAAGCACGAATAGTGCGTAATCCAGCTTGTCCACTTTTCTCCGGGTGAAACTGTGTCGCAAATATGTTTTTTCTTGCTATCGCGCCAACAAACTCTTCCTCGCCATATGTAGCCGTAGCAACTGACCAGCCACCACTCTCGAGAATACCAGGTTTGTAAAGCGCGGCGTAAGAGTGAACGTAGTAGTACTTGCTGTTTGGGCTCAAACCGTAAAATGTTTGGGCCTCCTCAGAGCCACTGTTTGTTTTCAAGGCTGAGTTCCACCCAATGTGCGGTACACTCTTCGTATCGGCCGTAAATTTTTGCATTCGCATGGGGATCAGCCCCAGTCCAGAGACATCAGGATCCTCCTCGGATCCGCTAAAAAGTGCCTGTAGACCAACACAGATACCCATGAAAGGTTTTCCTGAATCTATATGCTGCCTTATAGGCTCTAAATAGCCCCCTTCTGAAAGTTGAGAAAGGCAATGGCCGAAGTGGCCGACTCCAGGTAATATAAGCTTCTACAGAACCAGTCAGCTCATCAATTTTCCACGCATAAACATTGCAGGCAGTCAATGCGTGCTCACCTCCGCATTTTTCAAATCATCCGGGGACTTGATCCATTCAACCTCATACCCAACCTTATTGATCGCATTGACGAGAGAGCGAACGTTCCCAGCGACATAGTCGAGGAGATGAACAGTGGGCATGGCGGCGGAGATTCAAGTTTGCAGTGAGTCCCGCAACTAGAATTTTCCCAATGATGCAGATATAAACACAGATATGAAGAATTTGTCAAGATTGAAGACTAATCCTGTAGTTCAATGTTCTCTGGGACCGTAAATTCGACCAAAAAAAACTTTCGATAAAGGGATTTCAAGAAGAATAGTACTTTCGGGTACCCCACCACGCGCAGCTGAGTCATATTGGCTCTCATTCTTTTTTCTGCCGTTCAAACTACTACCTAGGTTGAAACTTGAAAGAGCCAGTGAATCAGCAACACCGCCTTAGCCTCATGCGGGGTAACTTCTCTGTAGTGACTGAGATCAAAAAGAAAATGACACCATATGCTTACAAATTGGACCTACCAATAAAAGCCCGTAATAGGTACCTAGACAGTATTAGTCATTCAAGGGGTGATATTTGTTTTTCCTCCCAATGATTTACGCTTTCCAGTCACGTACTACTATCTAAGAGTGGTTCAATAATAACTAGGTAGTTATCTATCCAGTTAGTTATTAGGTATGTATAGGTGTACTCCTTTGGTTGTCCACTTCTTATGTAATGATTACATCGCCTGTAGGTAACTGGTGCCCAGTGGCTAGATAGCTGACCTCCAACACGCCTCAAGTACATACATACCCGAGAAGAAAATCCATATCTCACACACGAACAGGTTCCTCCAAATAGCCATCACGTTTGGTCAAAATTCAATGCACCGCCTTAATACAAATGTCTCCTTGGTTGAATGATCAAAATGGAAGAGTAGAGAGAAAATATACATACGTGATCTATAGTTCTTTCTAGAAAATATATAGCTATATCATTCGGCCTCTATATCAAAGGGCTCTGTGTTCTCCTGACTCTGGAGATAAATGAGTCCGTTTCGAGGCTGTATGTAATTTTTCATTAGCACTTTTCCGCCAGATTGATATAGGTATCGAGGTGCCTTACGGGAGAAAACCGTCTAAGGCGTATACCAGCAGCTTCTAGGATTGCAGCACTCTGGTTTTTGGTGAGTGGTGAGATATGTTCAATATACGGGTAACCAAAAACGTACGTCTCGGTCCATATTGTAACCTTGCGAGTAGACAACTTCAGAAATACCAACTTGGGCGATCTTGACGGTGCATGTTAGGCAGGGACATCTTCGTTTTGTGAAATCAGTCTTTGGGAATAATCAGAACTTTCAGGGAAAGCCTCACGTATCACAATAAAGAATTGCGCCTTCTCGTATACGTTCCCTTCCAGCCTCTAGTAATGCATTTTCCTCGGCGTGAATACAAAGGCAGGTTGATAGGCCAGCACCTCCTCCCTCGCCACTATTACATCTTGGACCTTCTTATATGTCAGTTCCATGGGCATTGGTGTAACCCAATAATGTCTGCAATGAACGAGAGATCCAAATACGCACATCCACCTTCATTACAGTTTTTGAGGTGTCGTGGGGTTCCGTTGTATCCTGTGCTAATGACACGACGTTCCCGTACAAGGACACAGCCCACTCTTCTCTTCATACAATTGCTCCTTTGAGCAGCAAGGGATGCCAGTTGCATGAAATACTGGTCCCAATTTGGCCGTAAGCGCTGTTCATCAGCTAGGTTAAGTGCTTTGAGCGCAGAATGCAGCTCTTCCAAGGAAGAGGATGAATTGAACAGCTTGACTTGAGCTTGGTCAGTAAGGTAAGCACGTCCAATTCTTCGGTCATATAAATGTCGATCATTCCATAGAACAAATTGCTCCAACGCTGGGGGATCAAGCTGTCTCCTCCAGCATCTATAATAGCAAGTCAATGACTAGTCTTCATAAGAATCCCAAGCGACGGTAGGGTTCTAATGTGAGCTAACCTATCTGTAAATCGCTTCCATCTAAGACTGACGGGCGCGTCAACACTCACGAGAAGAAAGAAAGGACGTTGAAGGAGGCGATCTAGTGTAGCGCCATCCCAAATATCCGTGGTGACCCAACATTCTTGCCATCTTTTGGTGACAAAATCCACAAGCAATTCGACATTCTCAAACACAAACTCTGGCGAATGAGCAATGCCTCTCTTTCTAATCTCTGAGGCTTGGAGCCGAAGGTCATCGTCTGAGTCATTGGCTATCTGGGGGTAGCTTTTGTTGCTGAGTTCCAGCAATTGGAATCCTTGTTGTTGAATCAAAAACTCTGCAATAGCGTGTTTGCCGGAGCATATGCCTTTTGGAAATTGTAGGTCAACACTGATGCTCTCTTTGGGGGGGAAGGGATTCAACGAATTTCTGCTAACCACCACACAAGCCAACCAACATTCTGCTCAGCAAAAAGGGTGGCGAAAAGAAATGTAGGTATTGATAAAGAGAAAATCAAAAATCAAGAAACATGAAACATAAAAGACAATCAGGTGAACTGTGTGGATAAATAAGACAGGATTGAAGTACTCTTTAGGGCGGTATTCTGGGGGGGGGGGAGCAATTTCTGTGTTTGTGTGAAATATTTGTTACTATATTGCCCGGTGAGCACGACATTTAGAATTATAAAGATATAATTATTATAAATTTCTCTCTCTTTCCCTCCCTCTCTCCACCCCATTCTCTCTCTTTCTCTCTTTATTCCTATATACATAACTCTTGTTAAATGAAATAAGTCCTAACCCATCATCTAAACAGGGTGCCACACCCAAATGTGACATAGTACGATAAGATAACAGGTAGATAGTACCCCACTTGGCCAGTGCAATGTTTGAATGTCCCATGACATCTACCTATCTATCCCCAGTCACATGCCCTGCAGAAGAAGTTCATTATTTGCTTGAGTCCGGTATTAAAAAGATACCAGAGATACTTCTAAGCACCCAAAAGAATAACTTTGGATTGTTTCTATCCCTACTTAACAACAAGCAGGTAATCTCTACTACCTCCTTTCCTCCAGGGCGATATATCCTGCCACAAACATAAAGTTACCCCACACCATATATTCATGCAAAATGCGGTACACACCGTTTGCTTCGGACATAGAGCTACCCTTTTATACGGCTTTGGCATCTCTAAAAATCAACCATGATAAACTTGATGATTCTGCTCGCAAGATACTAGGTCTCTATGAGATTCGCTCTACAGACACGCCGAATACATCGTGTCGGATGCAGATCCATGGGAATTCTCTCACCAGTGATGAGTGAGTAAATCTGACGACCTAGCCTATGTTTTATCCCACGTCCACCGATTTTTTTCAGTTGTTTGAGCAGTGTCGCTCATGGAGGCAATGTGATAGGACCCTGGCGGGCTTTTACCGTGCCGAAGGAATGATAAAGAATTTCAACACCGTAGAGGAATATCGAAATATTGACAAGACTTCCATGCTTCAGCAGACCGGGAAAACGGTAAGCCTCGTCGAGGTGAAAACGTCGCTAGCAGGTTAAACTAATGATACCCTTTCTTCAGGTGTGGGATGCCATAAATGATGGGACCATTTATTCCTGCCCATCTCTGCTATCCTCATTTCTCATCCTATCCTTTGCAGATCTTAAAAAGTACAAATTTCACTACTGGTTTGCGTTTCCTGCAATACATTCTGATCCTTCTTGGGTTCAATTTGGCACAGCCAAGAAAACTTCTAGCTCGTCAGACCAGGCGCAGGGCAATGACATATCAACTACGAGAAGTTTGTCACGAGATGAAAGCTCAACCCTGGTGGAGGCGGTGCAAACTTGGAGCTATGGTGTGGACGCTCGCCAGCGAGGATTTTTCTTGGCTCGGAAGGATTGTGATATCCGTGATAAAGCTAGTTCGCCTCATGAGAACCCTACAGCAAACTCCGACCAGGATTCTCTTGCTACTGTGGTTTCTTGGCAGATTGCTTCACTTGCAAGCTATGAGTGTGGGTTTTTCGACGGTGCAGATTTTGAAAATTGTTATGTCTGCTTTGCAGACCCCTCAAACTATGATGATGCCCCTGGTTGGATGCTCAGGAATCTACTGGTTCTTGTGAAGCAACGATGGCGTCTTGATAAAGTCCAGGTCTTGAGGTATCGTGATGTGCACTCAAAACGTGATCAGGCACGTAGTACAGTCATGATATTGCAGTCTAGACAGCCGCAGGTGCTTGACCATGCAATATCCATTGATATGCTTAAAGCCATGCCAAAGGTAACCGGCTGGGAACGTAATCCAGCTGGAAAACTGACAGGAAGAGTGGTTGATCTCACGGAATATCTAGATCCTAAGAGGTATAGTGCCATTCTAGTCCAACTGATATGGCGGCTGTTGCTAACGGATTTACTACTAGGTTGGCAGATCAGTCTGTTGACCTCAACCTCAAGCTCATGAAATGGCGGATCAGTCCTAACTTGAACCTTGATAAAATCAAGCACACCAAATGCCTTCTGCTTGGAGCGGGTACCCTTGGAAGTTATTTAGCTAGAAACTTGATGGTATGTGAATACACCCAGGAATTTTTTTTTTTCTAACACAACGAGCTGATGAATATGTAAAGGGTTGGGGTGTGACGAAAATTACATTTGTTGATAGCGGGTCCGTATCATTTTCTAACCCCGTCAGACAGCCACTCTTCAATTTTTCAGACTGTTTGGAAGGCGGTGCTAAGAAGGCACAACGTGCTGCTCAGTCTTTATCGGAAATTTATCCTGGGGTCGACTCTACAGGGCACGTTCTCTCCGTTCCGATGGCTGGTCATCCCATAGTGGATTATGGAAAGACCCAAGCAGAATTCGAATGTCTCAAAACTTTGATAAACGAGCACGATGCGATTTTCCTTCTTATGGATACCCGAGAATCTCGTTGGTTGCCAACAGTTATGGGCAAGGCGGCAGGAAAGCTTGTGATGAACGCGGCGCTAGGTTTTGACTCGTTCGTGGTTATGCGCCACGGTGTCACATGTGATGCAGATCCAATGTCGGAACTAGGATGCTATTTCTGCAACGACGTCGTTGCGCCTATGAATGTGGGTAAATGCCGTTCGAGAATGGTACCATGACGAGGCTAATTCCTTCAATGATAGTCCGTTAAAGATCAAACACTTGATCAGCAATGCACTGTAACTCGCCCGGGTGTAGCCGCTATAGCATCAGCTCTTTTGGCTGAGCTCTTTGTGTCCATCGTCCAACATCCCCAAGGTGCGGCAGCACCTGCTCCAGCTACACGGAGTGAAGACCGAGGGGAGCATCCTCTTGGGATTGTGCCACATCAAATCCGAGGATTCCTATCAACTTTTGAGAACGTCTCTATCGTAGGTAAGAGTTATAATTGTTGCAGTGCTTGCTCAGACAACATCGTAAATGCCTATAAGGCAGAAGGCTGGGACTTTGTGCAAAAAGCTTTAAACGAGACTGGTTATGTAGAAGAGCTCAGTGGCCTTAAAGAGGTTTGTCATTTCGGACCCTTTCCCCTTAAAGCGCAGTTACTGACGGCTCGAAAAAGGTCCAGGCAACAGCAGAAGCAACGATGGCTGATATTGATTGGGATGAAACATCTGAGAGCACGGACGAAGCAGAATTAATTTAGAGCTTTGAGAATGTGAGCCTTGTGCGTAAGGATATCGAATTTGGGGTCATACATAGACATAGTATTGAACGCATTACCATCTAGTTATAGGTTGTTCTCACGGTGACAATACTGCATCTTTCAATGCGTATTGTTTCCTTTCGAGGCCAATGAAATATGCTTCCTTTGATTCCTGTAATTTGAGTCAGCAGACTATAATGATACAGTTTTCAATCCTTCTCTTTGCGTTTTGAATACTTACATTACGTGAAGAATCTGGTTTAAGCCTGTGAACTCTATGGAACAGACATTTGAGCTGTCTCTCAAGAGCTTTGTCCTCTGCCCCTTGGTAAAACTTGCAAACGAAATGACCACCAGTCCTGAGGGCATTAAAGCTAAATTGTAGTGCTGCGCGACAGAGGTCCTGGCTTGAGTTAGCCAATAATAACGTGAGCTGGACAATATAAGTAGGGACATACCATGCTTCCAGCATGATCTTTGAAGGTCACACCGCTCGTGTTCATCATCCTATTATGAGGGTCACTTAGACTTCTCTTCCAGAAACCAGTTGTTTGATACCAGGGTGCAGACATATCGCTTAAAACCACATCCACTGTTGTTTCTATCTTCGAATTGCTCTCGTGAGCACCTTCAAATTTTTCATAGGCTATCGAGCCCTCATAAACCTGGGTGGTCTTTTCTGATGAATCTTTAACGCTTGATTGAGAGATTACCGCATTGCTCGCGGTGTCTGGTAACGACCTGTGATAGTGTGGCCGACCTCTGTTTGGGTCTCGTAAAAACTCTTGAATATATGCCTGTATTTCCGGTGCAAGAAAATTCCCCTGTATAGTAGACACCCCTCTGGGAGGTTGGGCCGGGATTATGTCGACACCAAGAACTCGTCCATTTGGCTGGGTGCGATCTACCGCCACCTTAGAGGATAAAACAAGTTAAAAGCAGTATGGTAAAAAATGGGGAAAGTATGCCCAAGAAATCACATACCTGGGACCATGAACCAGGAGCATAGCCCTATGTGCGAACAAGAATAAGCAAATAAGAGAAAATAGTTGACGATACCAGATGAATTGGTGCCATACCAAATCGACAACGGTCTGGCCGCTCCTGAATATCCGGTACTTTTCATCAATCTATGAGGAACTATTAGAGCAAGAAACTGATATCCCCCAGCATCCCAAATTACCTGCAAAAGCTTGAAAGCCGCTCGACTTTTCAGTCCCTGCACTGCTGCTTCACGCGTAAATCGATCTTTAAGTTGACGGGCTTGCCACCTTTTTGATGAGGATTGTCTGTTAGGGACAATATAGCGGAAAGCGCCGGTAGAATTTGCAATTACGCTGCGCTTCAGGGTTGACAACAGAAGCATCTCGCCCGAGAATTATATCTGAGATTTGTTGGTAAGTTCTGTCCTCCAGAAAGAACCAAAGATTACATCTAAGTGCAGGGTATTTCTGCCGGCAAAATAAGAAGGGGTTCGATAGGTTCGATGTCACCAGTGGGTCGGTCATTTGGACGCAAAAGGTTCTAGGTAGTCTGGTTCCGGCCGCTATCCACAGCCTGCGCAAATTACACACCTTTCATTTCATAATAGGTAGTACAGGATGTTAAGACCACTAGCAGAATGGTAAAAAAAAACCACCTTAAGGTAGGTAACTAGTTAGATACTAATTAGTAAAGAGTGATATCAATTGGCAATATTTATCGGCTCAGAGCTTTCTACTCTGTATTTAGGTGATTAGGTACGTAGCTCAATACTTCAGATATGGCGCCCCTGCGATAGCGTAGCATTTTTACAATGTGAAACACTTATGAAGGAAAGATATAAGGTAGGTAGCTTTTTGATAATTGTAAAAACACCAAAGTTGTAATAATGTGCGAAACCATAATACTAAGTACCTAAGGTAGTGTAGGCAGTAAAATACAAGGCACAAGCAGGTTAAAAAACCCAGACCAAAAACTTCTGAGACTAAGTTAATAGCTTGGCTAATTACAGGGACAGAGCAAATGAGCAAATAGTAGTATAGTGCATTCCTATGTAGTCATCAAAGAAATGTGAAGCAAATCATAGGCTTTGCTACACCCCTCGGCATACTGATAGCTCACCATTAGAATCGTTTCCTATCCTTTTTCAAAGGAGAAAACCCGGAACCCCCAAAGCCGCGGTTAGGTGGGAGGCGACTACTAACACCAGTGCCAGGATGTTGTAAACCACTCAAAACAGGGTTCCGTCCTACACCAAGAGCAAGTTTACGCCCAGGTTTTTTGGTATTGCGGGTGTCACCCTCGCCTTTCTCTCCATCCTCACCCTCTTCGTCAAATAAACTTCTTTCGCGGTGAGTACCAAGCCTACGTCTCTTTATCTTAGCTTGTCCGTGATCAGAGGTTTGAGGTGGTATAATACTAGAGCCCTCCGATTGGCACCCATTATCAGGATGGTAAAGAGACTTGGTTGGCTTTCCAATTGTTGAAATTGCCGTGGACTTGAACTGGCGCGGACTCTGTTTTTTAGCATTGAAGTTCAGATCTTCGGGTAATGGCGAAGTTTGTAATTGAGAATCGAGCCCTTCATCCCTTAAACAACTGCTATTTCCAAGCAGCGATGTTTTGGCTTCCGCGTTCACATTGACTGTGTCAAGTTCATCCACATCATCATCTGAGCTTATCGGCGAATTTGCGAGTCCATTTGTACGATTGAGGAACGGAGTGATTGAGAAAGCTGATTTATCACCAGGCAATGCCGCCGATTTTTTTATTCTGTCATGAGTCTGAACAGCCCCAGGGGTTGCAATGGTCATATCGGGATGAAACTGGGCAGTTGCTCGTTGGAGAGAGACAGTACGGGGCATTGGCTGTGAGTCACTAGTATCGTTTCTGGCATTGCTGCGCTGCTGCTGCGCGTCTTTCTGGGTCCCTTGGAGCCGGTCCTTCGTTAATCGTAGTTTACTATTCAACACTTCAAGCTTCCCTTCAAGAGCAGTCCGCTGGGCCGCCCACTCAGCAGACTGTTGACGAGCACTCCATTCTTGGCGCTCTCTTGCTCGTGTCTCGTCTGCAAGCTCCTTGCGAGCCTGGTCTAGACGAGTAGATAAGTTTATTATTTCTTCCGTTTGATGTGATCCCTTGGTCTGCATGAGCTCATGTGCACGCCTTTCATTCTCCATTTGTGTTCGCAGTGTATTCAGTTGACGTTCAAGCTCTTGCTTTTCAGCAAGAAGAGCTTTGGAAGATGCACTTTGTGTACTGAGCCGGTCAAATTCTGACTTCACGTTTGAGAGGTCTTTGGAGAGACGGATTTTGTCTGACAATAGTTTTTTGGATTCGGTTGCAGTGTCATTCATTAAAGAAAGTTCTCTCTATTGAAATGTTTATAAGATATCAAATCATTGAAAGGAATTTGAATCACAAAAAAGGGACGATCACCTACACGAAGGTCTTCTACTTCATGAATCGAGGTATCCGCAATACTTCGTAGACGCTCAATCTCCTTGTAAGCTCCATACAGTTGAATGCGGATTTCAGACTCTGAATTCGTGGCCGTCATGAGATTTTCGTTGACTTGGTCGAACCTAAGTCGTAGGCCATCATTTTCGAATTGAAGAAGCAATTGTTCCATGCATAAAACCCGGTTCCTTTCGGCATCCATAAGCTGCGCCGTTCGTCCAAGAGCTCTCTCATAGTCTTGTTCAAATCGCAATGTTCTGAGAGCCATATGGCACTGGATGACGAGGTAAGTTTCATGCAAATCTCACTAGGCCAGGATGACGTACATACGTCTTCTGCAACTGGCTCCAACCGGGGGAGTGTCATGATGGTTAATACTTAGTTGACTATAATGAGCAGGCGAATAGTTGAGGGGAAAGGAGGGAAAGAAGAAATGAGAATGCTATAGGATAAATGATGGATAGTATTCAATTAGTGGCAGAACAGGATACTAAGAAGGTAATAATGGATGGGTACAGAGTACACCATACCTACTACCTGGCAAAATACGTAAACACGTCGGAACGCGTTTTGGCGGCGAACGTTAAGGCGGCCAGTTAAACCACGTAGTTGACACCTGGACGCCGGAATATAACCAGGCCCGGTTTGTCGGTAGGTAGGTAGGACGTAAATGTACACTTACCTATGCGGACAGTCTGTCCAAAACTCCGGACCTCCTACTCTTTGCAAGTCACCATAATAAAATTTTTTATTTAAAAAAAAAAAAGAAATAATATCTGCCATGCAAACATGAGGTTCTTTTCTCTTTTTATCTCCTTCCTTTTTATAGCACCAAGTGTGCTTTCGACAACACCGGCAACGGATAAGTTTGAAAGGTACCATTCTATCTCGCGCTCTACACCAATTGAATTGGATGACTCCTCATATGAAGACCTCACTTCGAAGCCCCGCGACTATTATGCCGCCGTTGTTCTAACAGCAACGGAGGCCCGTTTTGGATGTATCCTATGCCGCGAGTTTGAGCCGGAATGGGATCTCATTGCTCGAAGTTGGAACAAGGGCCTTAAACCCGACGGGCTCAAACTGCTTTTTGGTACCTTAGATTTCAGCAATGGTAAAGGCACCTTTCAGAAGGTATGGATATTAACAAACCGGATGTGGCTACCCAAGCTAATGAAAACAACAAAAGCTCATGCTCCAAACTGCGCCTGTCGTCTTGGTATTCCCTCCGACCGTTGGCCCCTTTGCTAAAGTCGATGCCACACCCCTGAGATTCGACTTTAGCGGGTAAGATAAACCAGAAGCCTTTCTTATCCTACCCAATGCTGACTATATATTTCTCAGCCCGATATCTGCCGAGCAGCTTTACACATGGCTAAACCGTCATCTTCCTGAAGGACCAAAGCCACTTCTTGTTCGACCATTTAATTACGTGCGGGTGGTCTCTTTAGTCACGATTTTAATGGGCATCGCCACGCTTTTCACAGTTCTATCTCCATATGTTTTACCAATTGTCCGGAACCGAAACCTGTGGGCTGCCGTTAGTCTTATCGCTATACTTCTTTTCACGAGTGGCCATATGTTCAATCATATCCGCAAAGTGCCATATGTTGTAGGTGATGGCAAAGGGGGTATCAGCTATTTTGCAGGAGGGTTTCAAAATCAATTCGGTATGGAAACACAAATAGTTGCTGCCATATGTAAGTGAGCCTCGTTCCATTCAAGTCAAACCCGTTGTAAACTCTTATTAAAACTAACCCGAATTCCAAGACGCTGTCCTTTCCTTTGCAACAATTGCCCTTGCGATGAAAGTTCCTCGCATGACAGACAGTAAAGCACAGCAAGTGGCCGTGGTAATCTGGGGGACTGTTTTGCTTGGCATGTACAGTTTTCTCCTCAGTGTTTTCAAGGCGAAAAACGGCGGGTATCCCTTCTTCCTTCCGCCCTTCTAGGCGGCTGGACTCGGGAAATTCCAGCAAACAAAACTTTGAGTGGTGCGAGACTAAATAGTCCCATGGGTCAAACTGGTGGTTACTTGTATATTTGGCAAACACTACAATGGAGACAATGAAAAATAAACCCCCATCACATCTACACAATATATGTGGATTCTCCTTGACGAAATAAGGATAGTATATACATATTGGCATGATCGTTAAGGCGCGCCTAGAAGGCCTGGCAATTTTTGTTCAACTTAATTTTTTTTGGTCTTTCCGCCATCATTGAAAGCCTTTAAAATACTGCGGATCATTTTTGGAACTTTTGAACTTTGTATTCCTATTTGAGTATCAATTTCTGCTCACTTTAGATTTGAGTGATCATCTTCTTTGTGAGTCTTGCTAAACTGTGACACATACATGTCTATATACAGTCTGTCTATTAGTGGTTGTGCATGTAAAACTAGCTAGGTAGCTAGTACATACTCCGTAAAATGGAGTGATTTACAGATGCGTTTTGTTGGCTTCAGTAGTATAGTATGTACGTGGGGTGTTAGTTAGCACCTAAAAGGCAATTCAAGGTGTATACCTAGGTATGTCTGCCCGACCAAATAGAGAATTACCTAGGTATGTTCATACGCGAACTTACACGGCAGTACCCCTTCTCACTGCAACCTTATCGCGGCACCCCTAGGCTTTTAGGTAAAGATTACTACTGATCAGTGTTCTAGTACAGTAAAAGTCTTAACCTACTCCTAGGCCTTAAGGGTATCTAATATTAAGGGGAGCCTTAGGTAGTCCACCCCTAAGGTCACCTCTAAAGTCACCCCTAAGTCTAGGTACCTTAAGAGAGAGAAGAACACCCCCTAATCACCCTAATAAATAAAAATAATTCCCTAAATTCTTTGACCCTGACCTTAAGACTTTAAGACCCTAATTTCTACCCTCCTAATCTCTAACTAGACCCTAACTATGGTGGTAGAGTAGGTATAGAATTATCTACTCTATGATAGAGGACTGTATACTAATATATAGAATCTTTATTACATTGTCAAAACTAGTGGAGGCCTTGAAAAACCACTATTTTAATAAGGAAGGGTGCAGCTGAGTAAGTTCACAAATGTTCATGGGATAGCCAAATTAATTTACTAACCTAGATAAGTTGAGCAGTCAGTTATATCCAGTAAGGATTTTATCTATTTAGATAGGCACCTTGAACCTTGAAGAATAATCATTTTCTTTTAAGTATAAAATAGTACTCTACTACAGTAAGCCCGCTATGAAACGGGTAGTAATGAAATTCGCTTTTCAACGAAGCAAAAGTGCCTTGTTCAAATTCATTTTCCCATCGAAATTCCTGGGCCATTCCACAATCCGTAAAATACTCCTAAAAATCCGCTAGATCCAGTTGATTTTGTACTTTTGTTAAGTTGGCCTCACCCTAACCGCCCTAATCAAGTGATAGTTCAAAAATTATTCTTATGTAGATGGTATTACTCTGTAACTGGAAGGTACCTAGGTAACTAGGCAGGTAACCGGTGCGAGTACAGTGGGATGCATTAAGTTCTGGTCGGGTCCCCTGACCGCCTTTTATCCACCGCCTACTTAGTAAAACTAACGACCATAATAACGCGTAGCTGTGTGATGCGAATCCCTAATATATCATCTCTGTATTTAAATTCCTTACTATGGAGTAAAGAATTAGAGGAAATGTATGGTGTACAAAGGAGATACTTAAATTTAGAGATTTTAGGCGGCAGAGTAGTTGAATATGATTGGTTGGTAAAAAGCGGTATTGTATGGCAGTATAAACCCGATCAGAACTTTCTGCACCTCACTGTAGGAGGTAATAATAATACCTGACATGGATGGTATGTACATAATTATTTTTATATCTACTCCATAACCTAGTACTCCATAGCAGGGGATATATACACTACTATAACTAATAATCTAACTTTTAAGTATGCACTATTATAATTATTTCTTACTAGCCATTACCACTAAATGCCAAGAGATCAGTATTGGGGTCATCCCATAAACAAAATTTGGAATTTGGGCTATCCGATGAATTAGTTACTTGGGTGAGGCTGCTTGCTCCATGCTGTATGAGTTCTAGACCACCAACCCTCCCGCGTTTCTTTTGGTAATGACAATATTCACATCACATCTCCAGTGTGCCCTTCAGAAAATCTTAAAGTTGGTATCACCCTCCTTCAGAATGACTTGTGGAGCCTCATGAACTGAACCAGCATTTTTACAGAGGGGGCACTAGCTATCCTCTATCATGTCAGCAAGAAATGAGAATCATGCGACCAGGGTTGTGGCATCATCAGCATCCGCCACGACGCTTTTAATAATTATCCAAATAGCCTCTAAATTGGTCACGTTTGCCGCGAATCAGTCAACTCTACGCAATTTGTCACCTGCCATACTAGGAATTGCCACTCAACTTGAGCTATACCTCGTTTCAGTGCTGTATTTTTCCCGAGAAAGCATCAGAACAGCAATCCAAAGGAAACCGTTGGAACCTTCTTCTGATTCGAGTTCAAGCGAGAGTCCTGGGAAACCGACAACTTTTGAAAAAGCCCAACTTCAATCGACTGCAACACAGTCAGTAGTCAACATTTCTTATCTGAGTCCCAGTATAGGGATTCTGTTCGCTCTGGCATTTGCTGCATTTTATATTCATTTTGCTTCAGAAGAAATTCTACAAACACCTTTTTATTTCTCGAGTGTTGTTGTCACTGGAATTTCGTCTCTCCTGGAGCTTGGCGTTGAGCCATTCTTTGCAGTGGTACAACAGCATATGTTATATAAAAAACGTGCTGTTGTTGAAATGTCAGCAGCATTTGTCAAAGGCATCATTCTTTGTGGTGTGTTCACCTGGGCTGTTTGGACTGAGCGCAATGTCGGTGTGCTCCCATTTGCACTAGGTTATCTGGGTCACTCTCTTACCTTGATATGCGGCTATTCCATAGCCTTGTTGAGAAAGCCAAGCGAGAGACAATTTTCATTTCTCATTAGTCGCATAGAGTCGAGGTATGTCATAAACATTATCGAACCGAGTATTAGGTTTGATGACAAAAATCTAGTGATGATGCTGGTTTTCTAGCCAATAGGTTTTCGTGTCAATTACTCTCGTTGTCTGTCAATGTCTTTTTCCAGTCAGTGGTAAAGCATTTGCTTACTCAGGGGGACTCTATGATCCTAGCAACAGTCGCAAGCTTACAGGACCAAGGTATCTATTCACTCGCCTCCAATTATGGCGGTCTCGTCGCACGCATATTCCTTCAGCCAATTGAAGAAAGCAGCAGAGCTCTTTTTTCGTCACTGCTCAGTTCCAGTGAAACTAGGAGTAAAAATTCAAACGCCATCGGCATTGCCAAGGATCACTTAGTTGATATATCGCGCATTTATGGAATCCTATCGATTCTCATCTTTCCGCTCGGTCCAGTTCTGGTGCCACAAATATTGCACATATTAGGTGGTCGTCGATGGGAGTCACCAGAAGTCGATGGCTTGATCTCACTCTACTGTTACTATATCCCATTCTTGGCTTTCAACGGCATCACCGAGGCATTTGTGTCATCTACAGCCAGTCCCTCAGAGGTTCGAGCTCAAACAGGATGGATGGGAGCTTTCTCCGCATGTTTTGCTTTAGCGGCATACATATTTCTCAGGATTGGCAACCTAGGAGCGTACGGGTTGGTGTGGGCTAATATTGTGAACATGGCAGTCCGTACAATATGGAGTTATTGTTTCATAAAGTTATACTTTCATCGTTATAGCACTGACTTTGCTCTAGCTGATGCCGGCTTACACTCCCAAACCTATATCACTGGGGCTATAGCAACAGCTATTATGCTTGCTAAGCAAGATTACTTTAACACGGGATCCCAGGGTACATTGAAGATATTACTATTTAGCAGTATTTATGCCCTTACAGTGTGAGTCAAACAAATGATAATAAGTATAGAAAAAAGAAAAGAATTGAGAACCTAACATCTAAATAGGTTATTTTTGGAAAGGGAATATCTCATGAAACAGTACACAAAAGTCTGCCAGATATTAAGCTTAAAAGCTGCAAGGCAAAAGACAGAATGAGATGATAATTAATCATCAAACACAATCTTTGTGGCTGCCTTATCAGTTTCAACATCCTTGAAAAAGGCACCATAGGCACCATGCTGCTTCTTCTTAACAGTTGTTCCAAATTTAAGAAGCGCTTCTGGTACTTCTTGTTTTGCTGCTTTCATGACATTAATTAATCTAAGTAGATTAGTATATTCCTTCTCTCAGGTCATATGATAATTTAAAATGAGTTGAAACCTCCAACTTACGCGCCAGATTGTGCTTTGTCAGTTTCTGTGAACAAAGTAATAGCATTTCCCTCAGTTCCAGCTCGTCCAGTTCTTGATATTCAAATGTCAGCAGATTTACCAAGCAATATTCGTACGAGAGCCCACATACCGTCCAATTCGATGAACATAGTCTTCGACTGTTAAGGGGAAGGTAACATTGATGACCAATTTGACGGATGGTATGTCGAGACCGCGAGCTGCCACATCGGTGGCAACAAGAACAGTGGCGACTCCTGACTTGAAAGCTTCCAGGCTTTTGAATCTCTCCTGCTGGCTCAGGTCGCCGTGAATACCAGCTACTTTAAACCCTTTAGCTCGAAGTAGCCTCTCGATGCGCATGGCTTCCTTCTTGTACAAACAGAATGCCAAAACTTTTTCGGGAGTTGCTGTCCCCCGCTGTGATCGATTCAGCAACTGCACAAGCCGGGCCTCTTTCTCTTGTGGCTTCACCACTTCGACGACTTGTTTAATTCGGGTGTTTGCGCGTGGATCGGCGGAGGGATCACCGCCAATGGTAACCGTCACAGGTGAGGACATGAAGGTTGTTGCGAGGTCTCTGACACTTGGCGGCCAGGTGGCAGTAAACATGACGGTTTGTCGGCCAGATGCTGGCATTGGGTGGATAATATCTTTTATATCCTGCTCGAAACCCTTGTCTAGCATGCGGTCTGCCTCATCCAAGACAACGTACTTGACCTTACCCAGATCCACTGAACCATCATTGTAAAGATCCTTTAATCGACCAGGCGTTGCAACAACGACCGCGGCAGACTTTAAGGCCTCTCGCTGCTCATCCTTCTTCACACCTCCAAATATACATGCCACTTGAACGTTGACTGATCTTGAATATTTCTGGATCTGGTCGTGTATTTGCATTGCAAGCTCTCTAGTGGGAGATATTATCACTGCCACTGGCCGGTTGGGTTTTCTTTGGCTCTTTTTCGAGTCTAGGATCTTTTTCAGACACGGCAGACCAAAAGCAAGTGTTTTTCCACTTCCAGTTTCTGCGATACCAATAACATCACGGCCAGCAAAGAGCAACGGCCAAGTCGCTGATTGGATGGATGTTGGCGATTTGAATGAGCTCAACGGGTTGTAGAGACTGTTGTCGCATTCAGGCAGATGAGTAAAAGAGATGATTGGACGAAGTGTCGCCGTCTCAGATAACGTATCAGTTATCTTGATAGTATTTTTGGTGAGGAAGTCATCTATTTCTGTTTGAGGAATATCACTCAATGCAGAGGACTGTGTGTAGGGGGCTAGCTCATATTTTGCATTTTCTGTATCAGATGTAGACTGTTGCTTTTTGTCGGTTTTCTGTTTTTCTGTCTTCGACTTTTTCTTAGGTCGATGATCAACACCTGATTCACTGGTGTGGTCGCGTTTGGCCATTGCTATCGTATTTGTATTTTCTTTGACTATGTTGTTCAAGAAAAATGACAGCAGCAAGTGGGGAAGTAAAAGTAATAGAATACAAAAGTTACCTTTTATGGGTAAGGTAGGAAGGGAAGGGAAAAAAAAAAAAAAAGAGTTAATGTTATGCCACCTCCCACCGCCTGGTGGTATCTCAAATTTAGACAACACGGAGTACTCCATACTGCCTTACTGAGTTTGCACAACCCGTCTCTTTTTTTTTTTTTCTGCTCGCGGGAGCTTTCCTCAACCAATAATGTCCCATTATTCTGCCGGTCTAAACTTCCAAAACTCACCCTTGCGAAAATTCGTATATAATTCTTTGGGGGTTTCAAACTCGATTCCTCCCACTGTAGTAGGCAGCAGTTAATCTGTATTTCATACCTAGGTGCAGCATACCAGAATACTATTGGAGAAAGCTGTTACAGAAGGCAGAGAAATCGCTAACTAGAATAAACATTCAATGCGTTCCAGATGCGCAGTGGATGAACCAATAAATCCACTAAATTTTGATGTGAAAGCCGGCTGCAAGAATAGGGAAGTGAGATGTAAGGATTAATAGAAAGGATTATACACATTACATTAATGTAACTAATTGAGGACTGAACTTTGGAAAACAGAAAAAAGGATAGTATTACTATACATAAGCAGATTTTAAGAGACAGAGTGCTAGGTATATCTAAAAACTAAAATAATAAGTAACTCAGGACCGCTATCTCATAACTTTAAACTACCAAAGCTAGCTAGATAGGTGGCATTATGGTAAATGTTTTTTTTTTTTAACAATGTCATAATAAAACATCTGATTCAACTAGCCCAGAAGGTTGGGCATAAGATAGTAAAATGAAACAAGAATGAAAAAGAGAAGAGAAGAGGATCAGGGCAACATCAAGCCTGTAACAGCTAATACTAAACTGTGAAAGTTTGTGTAGATCAATCAATACCATATGAATTGATCATCTCTGCAAGACGCAATGTCTCTTCAGAGTAATTGACAGGCTTAGCAGATGACACCTGGTAGCGAATACTAGACAATAAAGATATCAGCATTGCTTTGATTATATGCAAATTTGACCTTACCGTTGCTGATCGCCGAAATGATCTATTTTGGCTCTGCACCTGAAATTCCACGTCCGACAATTGGCCTCCTGGAAAACCTCTCCGGCTGCCTTGTCATCACTTTGTCGGATTTCCATTAACTGGTCTGCCGAAATACCCATCATCAGTCTTCCAACGTCATCGAAGCAACTAAGCCAAAGTTGGCCTGTATGGTCGCTGACATTTATTAGCATTATATAGCGGTATTCAGGCCTTGGGTGAGTCTTGTCGCAGCGTTCACAACGCCATTGACCAGGATCAAGTTCAGTCACTTTTTTGTTGCAATTTTCGGAGAGGCAAGCTGGGTAGCTCAAATTGTCAGGTTTTATATAGATGACAGTTGCTTTCAATGAGAAATAATCTGCATCCTCGGACATTCCCAATTGCTCTTCCCGGACTTGGGCAACAGTTTTGAACCGATCAGGCCTCATTGTAGATGTGGTCGCATTGGACATGGAGGCATGAGAAGTGAATGTTTCATCACGGCCTTGTGCATCATACCAACCCTTGAGCTTATGGGCCTCCTCAATATCAGGATCAACTGTCATTGAACCGGAGCTTAATAAACTTAAGCTTTTGCCCCCAAAGTCAGAAACCTTCACGCCTTTGAATGCAACCACGGACTCAGGTACCACAGTGAAATTCAGGGCTGTGGAACCCCAAACAGTCAAGCGAACAGAGAAGCCCGTGGAATCCACCAAGGTTAGCTCGCGCTTATCATAGGGCTTGCTTGTTGTTTTTGACACAATTTGAGAAGCTTCGCCGACTTCTTTCAAGACACCTATGACATCGGTGGTCGTATCTTTCTCCACGGATTGGAGACTACCGATGGAGGTGAAGTTGAATCGAACTTGAGGAACATCATTTTGATCTTCTGCCTGGGAGGAAATATAAGTAACAGGTAGATCAATAGATAATTGCAGTATGTTCTAACCTTTTCAACAATAGTATCTTTTTCAAAAGTGAGCTCATAGTCATTGTTAAGGTTTGTGAACTGTTTTTTGGCAATCTGAACACGGCACGGACTAGAGATATAATAGACATTGCCCTCCTGAAAATTTTCATAGAGCATATCACACTGGTCATTAAACCCAGTTGCGCGGATTTCTCCACTATCATCAAGCAAATTGACACTAAATAGTCGACCCTCTCCATTTCTGTTGTGCCAAGTCTTGATGTTTGACTTGCTTGTACAACGCGCTTTGATTGTCCATTTGTGTGAGTATGGGGAGATAGCTTCGATTGGATATATCGTAGCATGGGCCGAGGCCAAAGCAGTAGGTCGCGTTGCTTGTGTTCGGGCATTTGCTTGCACCGGTGCGCCTTGGATCTTGGAGCCATAAAAGCCACCGCTGGAAATTGTAGTTGGCTGGGTTTTATCATCCTCTTCAATTTTACTTTCTAGTGGTTTTGGCTCCCCAATTTTTTCACATTCCCCTAATTCCTGAAGAACCTCAAGATCCAGGATTATGAGAATCCTGCTAGTGTCAGCGGAGTTCTGAATGGAAAGGCTCTGTGACGTACTTTTTCCCTTTGATTGAGTTCGACTGGAAAGACTTTAGCCGAACAAAACATCCTTTGCGAAGTAACCCGTTTGTAACAAAAGGATTGGCTTCTATAGATTTACAGTTGTGATAGGTTAGCGGCTGTTTGAAATCATAGGATTTAGCACAACATCTTTCAACTTACGAGTTGCGAGCATGGTCTGAACATAATTGGAAATGTCACTGAAGACAGCCCTATAGCGCACTGATTGATTTTGTTGCGGAGGCAGCGGCTTTATTTGAACACATTGCACAACAGGCTCAGGAACATGAGGTTTGGTATCATCAAAAATAGCACTTGAAGGCATGCATTAGCAGAGGCTTGTCTTGACTGATTGAGAGGGGTCGTGTATATATAATAACATACCCAAGAGCTCCTATAGAAACATGAGATGCTGCCTCTGAAGCCATCATACACAGCTGGTATTGAAGTGGTGATCAGCAGATCAGTAGTTAAGCACACCAGGTGAGTAAAAAGAGTAAGTATGTTAGGGAAGATAAGTGAGATGAACTTTTAATAACCCTGTTTGCATATTATACTCAGGCCAGCTTGGTTGTCGTTCTCCAAATGGGATAGATACCGGCCAGGTTCAAAACGCGTGCTACGCGAGAAAGGCGTGTAAAGTGCTCTAACCAGACAGAGGGGCAAGCCCCACTTCTACGTACATTACTACGTACATACCCACAGACAGAATACCACCTCCAGTTTACAAAGATTCTGAAAATTCCAACTTTTCTCAAATAACATTTATAAACTGTACTAACAAGCCTTTAGTGTATCTCTTTGGGGCGGAAATTAGCAGGAGCTTTCTGGACTAAGGTCGACAGACGCTTGGTTTGATGTTGGAGATCGGGAGTGTCTATCCTCCAGAGCCAGTCACGCAGATAGACCCCAGACTTGCCCCTCACAGTCCATGTTGCCCCACAAAAGAGCGTAGAACATACTTCATCATCAAAGCTCTACGGGTGTTCCTTTCCTGTTCTATCCTCTTGCAGCCTCCTTCCATACTGCTTCTCTTCATGTTTGCAAAATGGCTTCGTGTTGCCATGTAAACGCCCATGGTAGGTAGTTCGGGATTTTTGCTACAGGCGTAACTATTTCAGCTAACACCTGGTTTGCCACAGATCTCAACCAACCCTCGGTATCCCAGGCTGTTTATCGAGAAGATTGTACACAATGTTTTGACTCTGTTGTATGTCCTCGATCTCCCATATTTATCTTTATATTCTTTTCTCTGTCTCCTTGTGCCCACCCAGTGCTATCTTACTTACATTTACGAAGGATGACGAGTCGGGTCTAAATGTTTGCCTCCACTGTTTCAATGGCGGTTGTACAGGAGATAGGGAGCATGCCTTGCTTCATTACAAACGTTTTGGGCATCCTTTAGCGCTCAATATAAAGAGGACCCAAAAGAAGATCCAGGTGTGTACTGGTTGTCTATTCATGTCTGGTTTTCACTTCGATGAATTGATTTGGAATTTGGTTTCAGCGTGATGAGCCTCCGAATAAAATTTCAAAACTTGCGATCCCCGCTGAGACAGAGGAAGATCGTTATGATACGACTACACGGGTTGTGTGCTACTCGTGCGGCCAGGATGATATTGATAAATCTAGCGGCAAACTTCCGACTGTGGTTGAAGGTGTCATGAAAGCGTTGACATTTTCGAAGAGGGAGGAAATCAAGGCTTGGGAGCAGGAGTTTATCCCCTGCGAGCATACACTTGGTTTGGTTCAACATGAACCTAAGCAAATTGAATCGAGAGGTAATCATCACCCCTAAAATGTCTAGGGGGCTCTCTAATAGATGCATAGGGAACAGTCAGTGTTCAATGTGTGATCTCAGGGAAAATCTCTGGCTTTGCTTGGAGTGCGGCGTTCTGGGTTGCGGACGCAGCCAGTTTGGTGGCATAGGCGGGAATTCCCATGCCCTTGCCCATTCTGATTTGACATCACATGGTGTTGCTGTCAAGTTAGGGTCGATAACTGCAGATGGTTCGGCAGATATCTACTGCTATAAATGCAATGAAGAAAGAACAGATCCAGATCTTGCTTCCCATCTCAGCCATTGGGGAATCAATTTGATGGGGCGAGAGAAGACAGAGAAGAGTCTGATGGAGATGCAGGTTGAGCATAATTTGAAATGGGATTTCTCAATGACTACCGAGGATGGTCATGAACTCGTCCCAGTTTTTGGGCCTGGGTTCACGGGGTTAGCTAATCTTGGGAATAGCTGCTATCTTTCGAGTATTGTCCAGTGTCTCTTTGCTTTGCCTGAGTTCCAGCAGAGATATTATCATGCAATCAAGGATTCACCATTATCACAAGCTCCAGCGGAGGATCTTGAAACACAGATGCGAAAACTTGCGGATGGCATTCTCTCCGGGCGATACTCTCAGCCGCGGAATGATTTTATTTATTCGCCTGGTTCACCAGAAGTGCCATGTCAAAAAGGGCTGGCACCGGCAATGTTCAAGCATCTTGTTGGTCGTGGGCACGAAGAATTCTCAACAATGAGACAACAAGATGCCTTTGAATTTCTTCTACACGTATTCAAACTAGTCAGTCTTTCAAAGCATCCTGAGGGATTACAAAACCCAGTTCAATCGTTCCGCTTCGCCGTTGAGCAACGTCTGCAGTGTACTTCTTGCAAAAAGGTGCGCTACAGGGTGGATGAGCAGGACAACATTTCCATCCCTGTCCCTACGCGTCGATTGCCCCACTCGGACAGTACGTCAACTTCCAATCAGTTTGAGCCGGTCACTCTAACAGAATGTCTGGAGAATTTTACTGGAGATGAAATTGTTGATTTTAAATGCCCTTCTTGTGGTAATGGGGATGGCTTTTCAAAGCGTTCATTGTTCAAGACACTGCCGCAAGAGCTGGTCATCAATGCTCGACGATTCGAACTGATCAATTGGGTCCCTACCAAACTTGATATTCCTGTGGAGGTCGGTGATGGACCATTCGACTTAAGCTCCTATCTTTCTTCTGGCCGTCATGAAGGAGAAGAACTGCTTCCGGATCATGATGACTCCGATGGGATGTTCATTCCCCAGCCGGAGGCTCTTGAACAGCTGCTTAGCATGGGGTTTCCCAAGACAAGGAGTGAAAAGGCGCTTCATGAAACCGGTAACTCAGATCCTGAGGCTGCAATGAATTGGATTTTTGCTCATATGGAGGATCCGGATATCGACGAGCCACTGGTCAATAGAACGTCGGGTGGAATGGGAAGTGTCAAGCAAGATCCCCTTAAAATAGGGCAACTCGGCGAAATGGGTATCGATGAATCCCATGCCAAGCGGGCATTAGCTGCAACAGATGGGGATGTGAACAGAGCTCTGGACTGGGTATTTAGCCATCCGGATGAATTGGAGGATGTTGACAATGGTCATTATGAAGAAGGCTGTGACCATGCTTCTGGGCTTGACACCATTCCAGCCAAATATGAACTTCGGTCCATTGTTTGCCATAAAGGATCTTCAGTCCATGCTGGGTAAGTGCAATTGAACCCGATGCATTGCAGAATATACTAACGTATAGTAGTCATTATGTGGCCTTTGTGCGCAAGGCACTACCAGGACAGGTTGGATTGTCTTGGGTCATGTTCAATGATGAAAAAGTGGTCAAAGTCGATGATATACAGGAGATGAAAAAGTTTGCTTATTTATATTTCTTTTCTCGGGTCTAGATAGGGTTTATAATCTAGACTGCAGGATCGTCGAATCAAGTCAACATGTCAAGACTATATTATTATCTTCCTCTTTAATTATGTTATTTAAGGGTATAGATAGTATAAGTAACCCTTCATGTAGAGCACTGGGAGCCAGCTGTACTTGGTGGTTACTATCAGGAGTAGATAGGTTGTGAATTACCTGCATACTATAAATGAAAATACTAGTAGTCGTAGTAGTAGTACCGTATGGGTAAGTAGGGGTAAAATAATACAGTTGTCTGATTATTGCCATATGAATTTTTACTAAGTAATAATAGACTAACTCTAAAAATTCTATTACTATTATTATAATTCTCTCTCTTACTTTGCTTCCCCTCACAAACATGTTTTTTAAATTATTTATCTTATTATTTCTCTCTTTTAGGACTGGTGGCCACCACATGGCAGCAGTCCCAGTTAGTGTCACATGAGTCAAGTCTACTCATTACTTGTGAGTAGAGTTCAAGTAATAAGGTGAGTTTAAGCCCTAAACCCTAACTTATTGTCACGGGCTGAATACCTTCAACACTGTGTCAATGCTCTACCTTAGATTAATGGTTGATTAACTACCATATACATAGAGATTAATAAGGGCTAGAGCTTAATATCTTTATGTGAGAACGTGCAATATTACAAGTACGCAGGCTTGATATTAATATAGATAGCATAGTAAACATAGCAGTTAATTAGTAGTAGAACTAAGTATTAGTCTAGAAAACCTTTTAAACCTATAATTAGAGATATATACTATATAGTTATATATATATATCTATACTATAGTCTTAGCAGTAGTTTCTATATATAGTATATTATATAGGCTCTAATACTACCCCCCCTTTAAAAGGCTATAACCTTATAGCTATTAGTTAGCCTTATTATATCTCTAGGGGGTTAATCCTTTCTTATATTAATTAATAAGAGCTTTTATTTCCTATTTTTTAACTTCTTATACTTTTTAAAGCTAAAACTATACTATAATATTACTTTCTAATACTCTATTTTCTTATATAGTAATATACTTAATTACTTTAGTATATTATAATATAGTATTATTATTTTTAGTATTCTTATATAGAGACTTATACTTAATATATTATTATATTAATTAAGTAAGCCCTTATAATATAGACCTTCTTTCTCTTTACTAATAACCTTATATACTAATATTATTATCTTTTTAGGTATATATACCTTTATTCCTAGCTTAAAATTACTTTTACTTACTAGATTTATCTTTATTTTACTCCTTATAACTTTTTAGGTGTTCTATAGTATTATAAAGTAGTATTTTAGTCTAGCTATTATAAATAATAATATTAGTATTATTTAATATTAATCTAATAATATACTTTTAAATTATCTTTTTATTAAAAAATAGTATTTAGCTTTATTTTAGTTTCTTTTATATACTCTATTTTTATAGCTTCTTCCTATAGATTTTAATTATATTATAGTAGTATTTTATTTTATTATTATTACTCCTTTATCTAGTTTAAAATATAATATAATATTATTTTAACTATAATATACCTTTATTAGTCCTTTTTAGTACTTAGAATTATATAATCTAGCTTTATTTACTATATTTATTTTATTTTCTAATTAAAAATATATTATTTATAGATTTTTTTAGGGGGTTATTATTATTTTTAAATAATTAGTATAAAGCTCTAATACTCTACTTATATTATAAATAAATCTATCTATATAATTTTATTAATAACTATTATAATAGTATATCTACTAATACTACCCCCTTCTTATGCCTTAGCTACTCTATAGTAGTAAAATACTATTATACCTAGTTAAAGAATTATAATTAATATATAGCTAAATATACTTACTATATCCCCTTATGCTTACTATTATTTTAGGGCTTTTTGTCTATCTTATTATTTATCTTTATCTCTATACCTCCCTTTATATTACTATCTAGGTTATAACTCTTACTAGCCTAGCTAATAATATTAATATAGCCTACTCTATACCTCTTTATTAGGTATAGAGTAAGCTATACTAGCCCTTAAAGTATAAATATTACTATTACTATATTAGTAGATACTATAAGTACTAGTTAATAAATATTTAATAATATTATTTAAGGTTAAGGCTAATTATAATAGATCCCTTAAAATCTCTTAAGGGTTATTTATATAATAATACCTACTATTACTAAAGCTAAGGAGGGCTAGATACTATATATAATATACCCTCCTTTAATAAAAGTAATAATAATATTCTATAATATATACTATTACCTTTAGGCCTATTACTATACTATTATTACTACTATTATTAATAATACTATTATTATTATCTAGTTTATAGCTAAGTCTATTACTATAGCTTTATTATCTTTAAATAGTAAACCTTTATAAGGTTAAATCCCTTTCTTTACTCCCCTTAGCTCCTTAATACTTATACTAGTAACTTTATTACTAGTAAAGAATTTAGGTACTATCCTTAGCTAATATATAATAATATATATACCTTTATAGATATATAGTAATTAATATTTTATAGCCTTAATATTTAGGTAGTGGTTTTCTTTAAGATCTTTAAGTATTTTTTTAGTTTTTTTTATTTTTTATTTTTTTATAAAATAGTTTTACTATACCCTTTAAGACTAAATAAAGATACTTTATTTATATACTATTTCCTTTATCTTCTTTATTATAGAATTATACTTTTTATAGACTACTTTAAAGTCCTATAATACTTTTATAGCTATCTTAATATATATATATAGTGCTTATATATTATATTTATCCTTCTAGCTAATTTATTATATTAGGTATTATACTTTACCTTAATAATTATATCTATTTAAGATTATAATAACTTCCTATTCCTCTTTTTTATTAACTTTAATAGGTTTTAAATATAGGGCTATACTATTATTATTATAATATAGCTTTAATAAGGAGATATAAAATATATTATAGATATCTTAAAGATTTAATAATAGCTATAGCTTATATAACTATTTCCTTATATATTAATAATTTTAAAGGGATTAAGGTAATAGCTACTTAACTTCTAGTTTAGATATATATTAGTAATATTCTTTATATATAGTATAATATAATTATTAACTATAAAGGTCTTCTAGCTATATTTTTATTATAATAGTATTTTATTATATCTTTAGCTTTTTATAATAAATTTATTAGTATTTATCTCTTTTTCTAGATAGCCTATACTTATCTATCCTCTAACTTTTTAATATTTTATTTTAGGTTAGTATAAAATACTATTATATTATTTAGACTTATTCTTAAAGTATTATATTTAGAGTTATTAAATACTAATTATATAATTAGTAACTATTTTATCTAATTATCCTAATACTAATTTATATAAGTATATAGGTAATACTCTAGGGTTTAGTTTTAATACTTTATTTAGCTATTAGTTTATAGATAATATATAGTTAATAGTTTTTAATATATATTAAATAATAATATAGTATAGACTAAAAGGTACTTATAAATAGGCTTCCTTAATTACTTATGTTTCGAGAGACTCCCTAATATATAATTAATTATTTTAAAAAGATACTTGCTAACTCTAGTATATCTATATTCTTATAATATAGGATATATAATATATTTAATAGAGGAAGACTTATAATAAAGTCTATATTAACCTACTAAGTAATATATAGTAATTCTAGTATAGGTATCTTATATTCATAAAGTATATTATTTTAAGGGATAAGGTACCTTTAACTTATTTTTATAATATTAGAAGCCCTAAAACTCCTATATTATTAGTAGTATAATCTTTATCTATAGTTATATTATTACTATAGGTTTTTTAAACTTTATAAGCCTCTTTATCTTCTTAGATATTTAATAAAGGGGTTTTATATCTCTATTCTTATCTTACTTTATAATAATATAGTTATTATAATATTAAGTTTCTATAACTTATCTTCTATATTAATTAGACTAATATATAGCTTTCTTTATAGTATAAGTAATAATAACTTCTCTAATATATCTCCTAACTTTAAAGTATAGTCTAATTAATAACTTAGTATATCTATAGGGTTCTTTAATCCAGGGTAATATTTAATAGTAAAATTAAATATAGCTAATCTTTCTATCTATCTTACTTAATATCTATTAAGCTTTTTTATTATTATAAAATAGTATAGATTAATATAATTAGATAGTATAGTAATTAGGAACTTACTCCCTTTTAAATAATAATACTATTACTTAAAACTTTAAATAATTATAAGTAATTTAGAGTTATATATCTTATAATATATTTTAGCTCTAATTATTTTCTTGAACTAATAGGTAATAGGATACTACTATATATTTTTTAAATAATTAAGATAGGATTCTAATAATCATATACCTAGAGGTATCTAGTTTAATATATATTTTATACTCTAGATTAAAATATTATAATATTAGGACCTTTATAAAGTAATCCTTTAAACTATAGAAGGCCTTTTATATATCTTTAGTAAGTATAAATAGAATAGTTCAATACTCTTTCTTTAGTTAACTTAGTCTATATAAAATATATATTTACTTATCTTATAATATAGTTTATATTTATATAGTTAGTCTAGTATAATGTATATATAGTATTTATATTCTTCCTTATTCTAGGAGTAGATAAGGATATTATCTAGGTATATTATATAATATATATCTAGTAGGTTACTAAATATATAATTAATATATAATTAAAATATTATAGGTATATTAACTAGCCTAAATAGTATAACTTTATACTTAAAATATCTATACCTTATTTAAAATATAGTTTTCTATTTATCTTTAGAGTAAATCTAGATCCTATAATATATATTATAAAGGTCTAGCTATATAAATACCTTTATACCCTCTAATTAGTCTATAAGGTAGTTATATATTTAATTAATACTTAATTATATAATTATAGTTCTTATATAATATTAATATACTAACTTCTTTAAGAAGATATCAATATACTCTTAATATACCTCTAGTAATTAATTTTCTCCTATTTATATACTAAATATTAGGATTAGCTTACCTTTTACTAGCTTTTAAAGGTAGATAGTAAATTTAACTACTTCTTATAAAACTTTATCTATATATTCTTTTACTAAAATAATTTCTATATTATTAACTTTCTTAATAGGCCAGTACTACTAGAT